CCCCCCAAATGATGCATAATAAGTCTTCATTATCATGAGTTAATAATTATTTAATAATATATTTTAAGTATTAATTAGTTATAAATATATTTATACTTATATTAAATTGAGAAAATAGTTTTTTAGCTGATTAATATGATTTTTTAGCTAATTATGTAAAAAAATAATTTTTCTAATCATATTTTTTAGATACAATAAATAAAAATAAAATAAAATAATATTTAGAAAGGTGGGACACATTGGCCAACCAAGCTTGTATGTGAGTTTGAGGCACAATTTGAAAACTTGATGAACAACTAGACCTCTAAGTTAGAAGCACAGTCAATTGGAGCCACGAGCTAAGAGCTCAAGTAGCTAAAGACCAATTGGGAGATGGACACATGTGTGTCATTTCCCTTCCATGTCACTAGTGGCTAGCTAGGTGTGGGGCAAAGAGTGATTGTACACATGTGAGAAAGTAAATTGATAATAAGAATAGGTATTGATATATATGTCTCAAAAAATAGAAAATAATCGATGTGGGACTAAACCCATGTTGATGCTTGCTAAAATATTTTTCTTTTTGATATATCAAAATACCTCCAACTTCTAAGAAATAAATGACTCTATGACGTCACTAGGTAATTCGCATTCTCTCTTATGTAGATGGCTAGATTATAGATTGACTCATCAAATTTAGTGACATATTCTAGAGTAGTCTTATTGCCTTGTTGAATCCATTACCATTGATCAACTAATTTTGATTCATAGTTGAGAGGAATATATTTTTCTCTTAATTTAGCTTTCATTTCCTCCCATGTTCTTATAGATTCTTTGATTCTACTTTCAAAGATTCCTCCTAGATTTTTCTAATAAGTTTTAACATGTCCTGAAAGTTTTAATTTCGGCAACCTTATTTTCTTAGCTTCAAACTTCTGGTACCACCCAAAATAGTTATCTAAGTAGGCTTCCCAATTGAGATAGTCTATAGGCTCAATGGTTTTGTCATACATAGGTACATCTATTTTATATTGTTATAATTTGATTATATTTGGTGTTGTACTATAGGGAAGGTATCTCAGGGTTCTTCAATTGAGTGGATCTTGTGTTTTTAGAATTAGAGTTGTTTCAGACTAATTGGAGAAACCCTAGTTGACTCTATAGTAGACATCCTTTGACCTTATTCCTCCACCTACAAGTTAAAGGGCCTCTACCCTTTTCAAGAACATCTTAGCCCATATAGGTGTAGGTTCGTCCATTGAGCTATGAGATTCTACTTAGTAGGATAAATATTACCCGGTCTAGTATGCATTTAAAAATACTTTTATAAAAATCACATAATATGATAAATGCAAATGACATACTAAGTTTATGCATGAAATGATGATTAAGTCTAATGCAAATATAGTTTTATAAAGAAATTGATCTAGAACTAATAGAGAAGGTCTCAATCTAATGAAATTCTTAGACTTAATGTGAGAACCCTACGTTTTTAAGGTAATTAAACCCTAAGCTATGATACCAATTGATGCAAGATGAGGCCAAAAGAGATCGCTTTAGAGAAAACTACACATTGATCTTTAGAGTTGTCTTAAGTTAAACCATTGAGGGCTTAATATCCAATTGATCTCACAATTTTAGGAGAATTAAAATTGTTAAGTACCTATTGGGTAATCTAATTCAAAAAATCAAACAAGGCTTTTCAACTAAGGTTTGGACCATCAATCTCTCACAAAAGGGTGGCTATTTGATGAATCTTACAAATTTTAAGAGCAAAGATTTGAAATCAATGACCAACTTCACAATAAATTTGAAAATCAACACACCTTCACAATAGAGATCTTTGATTTTAAGAAGATTCTTATTGCCTTGGATTCCACTAGCCTTATAAGAGAATTTACAATGAATGCTTTGAACTAGGAGGTGGATTAGTGTTAGGGAATAGGCTGTTTAAGTAGTAGGTATAACTAGGGACCATAAGGAAGGTAAAATAATATAATAAAAAAATAATGAAAAAGAGAAAAAGGTGGAGAGAGAAAAGGGGCTGTAATGAGAGGGCGTCTGTGGGAGAGAGCAAGAGAAAAAAAATTACGGGGTACATGATGATAGCAAGAGAGAGAAAGGAGAGAATTCTCGTGGTTATGAGAATTAAGGGTGAATAAATTAAATACTAACTAAAGAGTGAAGGGAGAAGAGGGGTGAAATGAGTGTGTCAATAGTAGAGAAAGAAAAACATGGGTTTTGTGGTGACAATAAGAGAGAGAAAGAAGAGGGTTTGTGACGTGACTTAGTCATTGTATATTAAATCACGTAAATTTAAAATTTATAAAACTAGAAAATACTAATTTTTATATATTTAGAAGTATTTCTGAATAAATATATAAATTATAATTCAATAAAAGTTCCAAAAATAGTAGAAATTTTCCAGATCGATCACAAGGATGTAAGATAATATCGAGTAATTTTTTATAATTTTTTCAAAGAATACTATTTTTTATAAATTTCAGATTAAAAAATAAAAATAAAATATATTTAAAATTCACAAAAAAAGGAAATAATGGTGCAAACATCAAGATGATGTCAGCACCTGACGAACACGAATCAAGTAGAAATAGAGTTCTACTCGATGATCCTTATGTAAGTAATTACAAACGATTTAATTGATCAAATTAAGATCTATAAAAGTTAGAAGAATCGTAATGAATGAAGAATAGTCTGGTAAATTTAAATCACACAAGTTATCACTAAATGAAATGAAAATTAAGTTGAAAGTAAAAAAATAGAGTTCCGTCAATGCGGTAGTGATGCACTGAAATCTTGAGCATTCGAGAGGATTGTCATATAGTATCCACAGCCTCAAAGGCTCTCCTTAGACAAGGATGACATAGGCAATCTCTAGATTTTCTTGTGAAGTCTAGAGATCAATAAAATAGATCATCGAATCATCTCTAATGATTGTCACCTGATAGAGTGAAAAAATAGCAATTTTGCGACTCTCCAATGGTTGTCACCTGACAAAGAGGAGCTAAATGGAGATGGGGTGCATGCTAGGGAGCTTCATCCTTAGGTCTGCATAGTAAGAGAAGACTCTTCATCGCATCTAGTATGTCCTCAAGAGGTGGTGACTTGTCTCCTGACGGATCGTCCTCTTCCCAACAATGACTTGTTCGTCGATCAATCAAAGATGAGTTACTTGATAGATTCGTGATCTTTTTATTGTGAATCGTTCAATAATTTTAGTAATAATATTTTGCAAATCACGTTGACAAGATTTTTGCCAATGATCAAGCAATTCTAGCAGCTTAATCCTCACCGACGATCTACAGGAAAGTCACAATTTAATCAAATAAAAATATGAATTTTGGCTCTAATAAGATTTGAACCCGCATCAGTCATCTACTTGTATAAAAAAGAGGGAATAAGTTCTTAAATACCCTCATACAATGATGTCATCATAGTATCTCATTGTTATAAAGAAGGGGTATTTTAGGTATTAAAATCTTTGAAAATATCCCAAAGAAGATATGACTGCTAGTTTAGTCCCACATCGGCTATACGTCAAATGTGGAGATGCATATATAGTAACGCAAGATTTGGGAATCAATGAGTCCTTTTCTCGTGTGTGTGTGACCACTCCTTACCCCACAGCCAACTAGCCACCGGTGACATGGAAGGGGAGTGGCACACATGTGCCCCCATCGGTCCATAGCTGCTCGAGCTTTTGCTCGCAGCTCCGCCCCGACTACACTTTCGACCTACTTGCGGGCCTAGTTGGCCAGCAGGTCCCCCTTTTTATTTTTTTATTTTCTTTTTCTTTATTTATCTCAAAAATTTGATTATAAAAATCATTTAAATTTATATAAAATCACATAATTAGCCAAAAAAATCATATTAACCAACTAAAAATCACTTTTCACGAACTAACATAATTATAAATCTATTTATCATGATTTAAGGCTAAAATTATATTATTTATTAATTACTAACTCATGATAATGAAGACATCAGTTTGTAATAGAAAGAAGGTGGAATGGCTACAATAAAATAGACGACTAGGAGGTAGAACGGCAGCGATGAGAGGAACGGCAAGGAGGTAGAATAGCAACAATAGGGTGGATGGTGAGGAGGCATAAGGACAGTGACAGGGCAGGCAATAAAGAGGTGAAACGGCAGCGACAGTGGGAGAGGAAAGAAAGGTGAGCTTGGTGATAGGGCAGATGGCTAGAAGGCAAAATGGCAACAACAAAGCGGATGGCTAGGAGGTGGAATGGTTGCGGCAGCAAGAGAGAAGAAAGGGAGGGCTCGCAATAGGATAGAAAGAAGAGGATGTGGGAGAAGAGAAAGAGAGAGAGGTCCCTGACGTGACTCAGTCGTTGTATATTAAATCACACAAATATAAAATTTATAAAACTAGAAAATATAAATTTTTTGATATTTAGAAGTATTTCTGAACAAATATATCAATTATAATTTAATAAAACTTTCAAAAATAGCAGTAATTTTCTAAGTTGATCACAGGGATGTAGTATAATATCTGGTAATTATTCAAAATTTTCTGCAAAGAATAATATTTTCTATGAATTTTATACTAGGAAATGAAAAGGAAATATATTTAAAATTTACGGAAAAAGAAAATAAGGGTGCGGACGTCAGGATGACGTCAGCGCTTGGCGAATGCGAATCAGGCAGAAACAGAGTTCTGCCTGGCGATTCTTACGTAAGAGATTACAAACGATTTAATTGATCAAATTAACATCTATAAAAGCCGAAAGAATCATAATGAAATGAAGTATATCCGAGTAAATTTAAAATCAATAAATTAGCACTAAATGAAATGGAAATTAAGTTGAAAGTAGGAAGATAGAGTTCCGACATCGCAACGGCGATGCGTCGGCGATGCACTGAAATCCTGAGCATTTGGGAGGATAGTCATATAGTGTCTACAGCCTCGAAGGCTCTCATTGGACAAGGACGATGTGGGCAATCTCTAGATCTCTTTGCAAAGTCTAGAGATCAATGAAATGGGTCGTCAAATCATCTCCGGTGGCTGTCACCCGGTGGAGAGGAGCTGGATGGAGGTGGGGCGCGTGTTAGAGAACTTCATCCTTAGGTCCGTGCAACAAGAGGAGGCTCTTCATTGCATCTGGTACGCCCTCAAGAGGTGGCGACTCGTCTCTCGGCAGATCATCCTCTTCCCGATGATGGCTTGTTCGTCGATCAATCAGAGATGATTTACTCGATGGATTTGCAATCCTTTTATCACGAATCCTTCAGCAATTTGAGTAACAATGCTCAGCGAATCACGTTGACGAGATTTTTGTCGATGATCCAACAATTCTGGTTGCTTAATCTTTCAACGGCGATCTACAGGAAAGTCGCGATAATCAGATAAAAATATGAGTTTTGGCTCTAGGAGGATTCAAACCCACGTCGGTTGCCCCCGCCTCTTCTGAGGAAGGTGACTGGTTTAGTCCCACATCAGTTGTGCGCCGAATTTTTAGGCGAATATATAGTAATGTTACATTTATAAGCAAAGTCCTTTTCTCGCGCGTGTACGACCACTACTTACCCCACAGCCGGCTGGCCACCGGTGACGTGGAAGGGGAGTGGCGCACATGTGCCCCCATCGGTTCAAGCCACTCGAGCCCCTGCTCGCGGATACTCCCCAACTGTGCTTCCGACCCACTTGCGGGCCCGATTGGCCGGCGGGTTCCCCCATTTTGCAATATTTTTATTTTTATTTTTTGATCTTCATTTATCTCAAAAGTAAGACTGTAAAAATCATATAATTACCTAAAAATTCACGTTAATCAATTGAAAACCACTTTTCACACTTTAACATAAATATAATTCTATTTATCATGAGTTAAGGCTAAAACTATATTATTTACTAATTATTAACTCATGATAATAAAGACTTATCAGTCCCCCTAATCCAAGAGGGCAAGAAGAAGAAGATACTCCTAATTCAAGAGGCAAACAAAAGAGTGTGTTGTCATACCAAACCCAACATATATTGATGATTGCACCAACTAGTACATGAAATAAGTGAGGTCCTCCTCACATATACTATCCTAAATTAGTGAGTAATATGCATCCCTTGGGTCTCTAAATACTTCCACACATTATTAAGGCTCCTCAATGTCAATTGAGTAATAGTTGAGCCAACATGAGAAGGCACAAGCACTTAAGCTTAAATGGACCCTCCATGAAAAATTGATGTTAGGATGGCAAACAAGAGTAGTGCGCATGGGAAAAGAATTGATCTATTAGATGACGGAATAGCTCTATTGGCCACTTCTATGGAGGATGTAAAAACTCATTTCCATCATATAGAAGAGTAGTTAGAAGCCTTGCAGGTCTCAACACTTGACACAACCAACAACATTGGCACCTTGTGCCAAAATAAAGTCAATGCTAAAGAGCTGCAAGGTTGCCTATAAAATGGCAAAGAGACCTCAGATGTGCCAATACAAGAAGAGGCCTTCTATTACCCAAGTATATAGACCTTGAACCCACCATACACACTTGGACATATCATGGTAGGAATGTACATCAGATGGTGTGAGTTGAAGTGTAGTGGTGAGGTTTGCTTGCAACAAGTTACCAAGGCTTCACAACATGATAGCGCTACCAGCCATAGGTACAAAGGTGACAACATGTGTGCTATGTAGACAACCACAAGCACACTAGAGATTGATGCACACATGTAGCATTAACATGTGCAACATGGAAAGCCAATATGGCAAGGAGTGCATTGAAAAGCTCTGGCCATTCAAGGACTTCATCCAAAGGTACCTCAAAGATCACCATTTGATGAGAATCTTGAAATTTTCAGGTGGGTGAAATTTGTGATCCCTTCTATAAAGTAATGAGGTCTTAATCATGAGGTTGTGGTATCCAAAATTCACAGCCAAATTACTTATGAGCAATTTCTCATGTATTAGTGTTACCATGAGATTGAGCAAGTCTACAAGGAATCAACTTATCTAACTAGTACCATCTTCAATAAGTTTAATATCTCTAGTCCAACAAATAGATAAAAGTATTTCAATACCCAAGTTTCAAATGCACTTTAAGTTTCAACTTACAACTCGATGCAACAATACAACTTGTCACCACAACTCTTGTTTTCCTAATATTACTAAACATTATGTTGGCTTCAAGAGCCTTAACTATCCTATAAAGTATTTTTATGTTCAAAAAATGAATTAATCAAACAATATTTAATCGTATATATTTATAAATCACATGAGTATTTTTTGGAGACATGCATGAAATTAAATAATCATAAATAAAATACATCTTAATGGTGTCAAGTGTCTATATGATAATTAAATAAACATATTCGATGCTCAAATATATAATTCTAAATTTGTGATGAATCTACTAATAAGTTTTCATTATCATGAGTTAATAATTAATAAATAATATAATTTTAGTCTTAACTCATGATAAATAAATTTATATTTGTGTTCATTTGTGAAAAGTGGTTTTTACTTAGTTAATGTAATTTTTTCACTAATTATGTGATTTTCTACTATTTTATATGATCTTATAATTTTATTTTTTAAATAAATAAAGAAAAATAAAAAAAATAAAAAAAATAGAAAAAGGGGGGGACTCACTGGCCAGCTGAGCCAACAAGTAAGTTGGAAGTACAGTCAAGGTGGAACTGCGAGCAGGGGCTCAAGTAGCTATGGACCGATGGGGGCATGTGCCCACCACTCCCCTTCCACATCATTGGTGGCCAACTAGCTATGGGACGAGCAGTTGTACACGCAGGAGAAAGGGACTCATTACTTCAAAATGTGATATTACTATATATTCACCTGAAACTTCGGCATACAATCAATGTGGGACTAAACGCGCATTGCACCTTCTTTAGAAAGGCTTCAAAAAATTTAATACCTAAACTATCCCTTAGTTATAATAGAGGTATATCATGATAACGTCACTTTATGAGGGCATTATAATACTTATTTTAATCTCTCTTATGTAGACGGGCGACCGGTGTAGATTCAAATCTTTTTAGAGCCAAAACTTATATTTTTATTTTATTAAATCGTAACTTTCTTACAGATCATTGATGAAGGATTAAGCTACTAGAATCACTCAATCATCGGCGAAAATTTCATCAACATGATTTATAGAGTATTGTTACTAAAATTGTTGAATAATTTGCAATAAAAGGATCGTAAATCTATCAAGTAAAGCACCTCCATTTGATCAATAAATAAGTTGTTGTTGGAAAGAGAATGATCCATTAAGAGACAAGTCATCACCTCCTAAGAGTGTACCAAATGCGATGAAGAGCCTCCTCTTACTATGCGGACTTGAGGATGAAGCTCCCTAACACGCATCCCACTTCCATTCAGCTCCTCCCCATCGGGTAACAGTTGTCGAAGAGTCGCAAAGTCGTTGTTTTTCTGCTCCGCTAGGTAACAACTATCGGAGATGATTCAACAACTCATTTCATTGATCTCTAGACTTTATAAGAAGATCTAGAGATTACCTACATCATCTTTGTCTAAGGAGAGCCTTTGAGACTGTGAACACTACACGACAATTCTCCCAAATACTTAATATTTCAGTGCATCACTGATGCATCGCCGTCGCAATGTAGGAGCTCTATTTTCTTGCTTTCAATTTAATTTTTACTTCATTTAGTGATAATTTGTGTGATTTAAATCTATCAAACTATTTTTCGTTCAATTACAATTCTTCTAGTTTTTACAGATCTTAATTTGATCAATTAAATTATTTGTGATCACTTTGTAAGAATCACTAAGTAGAACTTTATTCCTACCCAATTTGCATTCGTCAGGTGCTGCCATCATCTTGACATCCACACCCTTATTTTCCTTTTTCGTGAATTTTAAATATATTTTATTTTTATTTCTTAATCTAAAATTTATAAAAAATTGTACTCTTTGAGAAAAAATTTGAAAAATTACCCGACATTATATTACATTTCTATGATTGGCCTGGAAAATTCCTACTATTTTTGAAACTTTAATTCAATTATAGTTAATATATTTGTTCAGAAATACTTCTAAATATCTAAAAATTAGTATTTTCTAGTTTTATAATTTTAAATTTACATGATTTACCATACAACAACTAAGTCATGTCATCTACCACCTGAAATATTTATTTTATTTAATATTTCTAAAAAAAATAATTAGCCTCTAGTGAAAACTATTGATTTGGACTTTAGATTTTGTATGAATATTTAATGTAAAATATTGATATGAAAGCTCAACCAATATACTAGATTTTCATGATTTGAAATTATAATCCTCTAAACATTTTTTATGGACAATTAATTTAGTGAATACACAATATTGATATGGCATTTCATGATTACTTTAATATTATTAAATATTAACTAAAATAATTTAAGAATGTCGTATGCTACTAAAATAATGTTGCTAAATATTAATATGATTTTTGAGTATGTCTACTTCGTACTCATATTTTATTTGAGGAACGTAGACTTAATTTAGTTCTAAAAATAATATTTCTATTTTGAGATATATTTACTATTGCATTTTTAACAATAATGGAGTCTTGTTAGAGATGCTGAAGGGGATAACCTCAGATATATATATATATATATATGTTCAAGCTTAACAACTATGTTTATTGATTCAACTTAAGTGAATATCCTACCCCTTGAATTATATGCTCTACTGATTTTCCCAATATTAAAATTCTTTCTAACTATTTTTTCAGAAAATTATATGCAAACCTGAGTGGTCTTTAAAAGCATGATTCAACAATGAGAAGACAACATGTTGAGGAGCAATTCTTGATCTAAAAATAAGCTTTCTGAATCTAATTTCAGTGACAACGTCTTCTTCAAATATATACCCTTGTAATCTGAAGGGGGAAGAAAACAAGCACAATTCAACTCTTTCATCAAATTCTATATGAGATTTAGGTCTTCATCAAATTCTAAAAAATGATGGTACTGATATTTTTTATGTCCTCTAGCATAAACTTATGATTCAGTTTTATTTTAATGACTCAAGAGAGAGATGAAACCTATAATCAACTTTAGCCCACCTAGAGTTGCAATTCTAGTAGAAACTCTTGGGGTAAAAGTCAAAGTGAACCAAGCTCAGTAATCAACCAATGTTGCTAAACATTGATTTATAAAAACCAGAGAATGAGGTTTTCTTTGAGAGTGGCCATAGGTAGAGGATTGATCCACTATAAGAGTTTGTATCATCAAGATCTAAGTATAGGAGACCCAAGGAATGTCAATCTGACACTAGCAAAAAAAAAAAAAAAAAAATTGCCATTTTTTGTTAACAATTGGGTGTGAGGAACTTATGCTAGGTCAGTGCTTGCAACAAGACCAATAATATGGTCATCTTAATTTTTCTCTTACACCATGAGAGAAAGTATCATTCACCCAAACCCTAGAAGCCTAAGAAGATATGTAGCCAAACTACATGGAAATGAGGGCTCCAATAGTGATGAATAAAAGGGAACTCTTAGGCATGGCATAAATAGTTTAGCTATAATATGGAAAATGTAGAAATTTAAATAAATATATACGAGATGATTGAATACTCCTCATTGTGAAAAGATCTAGGAGTACAGTTGGAAAGCCAAGCCTAATCTTGATCCCTACTAATAGTTTCTCAACCCAAAACCCTAGAGTCATCATACCCTACAGTTGACTCCCATATGCATATCATCTAACTAGTTGCCTAAGTATGTACAAAGGCTCATAATTTTTAAACCCTCTGAAATATTTTGTATAAGACTGAAATGAGTCGTGGCCTAGATAATAATTGCTAAAGCAAACATGATAGGAAAAATATGAATTTTTTAAGTAAAATATAGGTCAATATCAATGCTCTTCCACATGTCAACACTACACCAAGGAAACTCACTCTTCCCAACCATTTCAATGGTTTGATTGGTAAACTACATAAAACATGCCCTTCATTTACACAACAGTGCTTTTTTGTTGACTTTGATGTTAGCCTATCCCATGAACAGCTGCTAGGCTACCATTTGCATTACAAAACTAACCAACCAACACATGTTCCTATATCCAGGAGACAGAAAGAGGGTTAGAGAATTGGACTACGATTCAAAGTGATGATAGGACGACTACATGGGTAGAAAATGGGCTCAAGTCTTCTAGGCTTGGCTGGCAGACATATGGGCCTATCCTGTACATTAACAGTTCTAGTATGCATTTACCTCTCGTTCTTCATTTGATCCCTCCTAACTGGGCAAGCCCACAGCCCAGAGCCCAAAACGCAAGCCCTTCCACACGGCACCTCCCATTTTATGCCACATGCTGGAGTGAGGGCAATCATACTGTGTTTATCATCAACTAAAACTTTATCCTCATGGGAAGGGAAACTTTGCGAAATATTAACCCTTCTATCAAAAATTAGGATGATTTCCGCCAAACGAGCGTCCACCTGGTGTGGGAAATGCTCAGTGAGGCAATCCAGACAAGGAATAGAATAAATGTCATCAATCTAGAAATAAAGAATCACACTGATCAATATCACTGGAAGGGCTTCCATGAAACATCGAAAGCCCCATCCCCAGAGCAAGCAAGAAAGAAAGAGAGAGAGAGAGGGAGGTAGCCAGGGAAAAATAATATGATCTAGAATGGTAAACAATCACATTGTCAGTACAGTGGGTGGCCGCTCACAAAACATCCAAACCCTACCCACAGTAGACATAATGGTGGGGGGAGAGGGGAGAGAGTGGAGAGAGGGAAGAAGGGAGGGAGGGGGGGAGGGAGGGAAGGAGGGAAGGAGCTCGGATAAAATAACAATCACGCTGACCAATAATAGTGGGTGGCCTATCATAAAACAACCAAAGCCTACCCGCAGCAGACTGGGGAAGAGTGATGGGGAGAGGAAGCCGGGAGAAATAATATAGCCGGATCCTCTCTTGCAGAAAGAAAAGTTGAAGCCAAATACCTATCGGAGAAGAAGTCAACCCTCTCCTTTCCTTCCCATCATGTTAAGGCTGAGACTCAGCACCGGCTCTTCACAGACCCAGATGAACTGCATCAAAGAAACACTTAACATTTTATGGAAAAGCCCAGCCCTGGTCAGCGATACCCAGAGAGAAATCTTGGGAGGGTCAGCAAGGTGTTGACTCGGGAAACACCCTCAAGGGCCGACCAGTCTTCCCCTTCTTCATCCTTTCCCTCTGGGGAGCCCTCCCAGGAAGATCTGGTTGCGGCAGCGCTGCTGTGGCTCTCCACATCGAGGAAGAGGCATACAACGGCACAGTCGTCCATTTTGGAGGTCGGATACTTCGACCTCCAGGCCCGAGCTGCTGCCTCTACCAGGGTTCTAGCTGACGATGATCTTGAGGGAGCAGAGGCGATTATGTCTACTACCTCCTTATTTGATAGAACATCCCAGACCTGCCACAATTTGATAACTGGCATTAATTAGAGGGACAATGGCAGCAGGGAAGAAGGGTAAAATCGACCCAGATGGAACAATTTTTCTTGCTTACCCCATCGGTGGCCAAGACAATGAACTCGTCCCGGTCAGTGAGCCGTCGGAAGGAAACCTCAGGCACAGAGATCAGACCGAAGTCCTTGAGGCAGAAATCACCAAAGGCCCGTGCCATGGCCAGGCCCGGGGAATTAATGTTCGGCAACCAAACCCTAGGCACCTCTGGCTCGTCCCGAAGAGCAAAGACTCGGCCCCTGCACTGTCTGATCCTCTCTGCCTCTCCTGAGCCAATCAGGAAATTAAAATTTCTCAAAGAGCTTCCAGTGTTATGTTTTCCACTAAATTATCAAGCTATTAATAAAACATGACGGAAAAGAATAAAAGTAAAATAGTGATGCTTCAAAAAATATGAAAAACGAAATACAGCGATGTTGTCCCGAATACCGGACGACCCAACCCTGCCCACAAATATTTCGTAAATATTTTAATGATCTGATTGGCAAAAGGAAAATCAATAGGTTTCACAGTTCAGATCATTAATCTCGATAAAAAAAATCTATATCTACACGGATAAAAAAAGCCCATGGTGACGAAGCTTTGTCATATACTTCTTTCATGGAACATACCGAAATTATAGGCCCAAAAGAAGCAAAGAAGCGATCCTATTTTACTTTCCCTTTGATTTAGCATTAATCTACTTCAAAACTCTACCAGTTCTCTTGGTATCAAAAAACAGTTGCTATCCAAGTGACAAATGATAGATACAACAGCTCCGTTTACCCTGATAACTCATATTAAATACAAATGAAGAAAAAAAATATTTGTACAACAGCTTTTATCATGATTATTACAATCAATGGAGTTCCTTACCAGGCTAATCACAAAAACGGAAGGGATGAATACCGAATTATCAGGCCAATTCCATTCAAGCCCATAGGGTTAACTGATTTCGGCAATATGGTACATATATACTAAACCAAGCCGTACATATATACTTACCCAAGCAAAGAAATTGATAAAATAATGTGAATGAACCAAAAGGAACGTTAGAAATTTTAAGAAAGGAAATCAGATTTTTCTGGTTGCATAATGTTGTCAAGATGGGGACAAGAAATGGATGGCTGAAGAAGGTTGAGGCGAATTTTGTGTGATTATTGATTCTAATTTAAAAAAATAGGTAGGGCTATGGAATAGAAAAAGCAACCTCAGTATTGAATTACAAAAGGCTAATGATTATGGGATCTGAATACAGAGAAATTCCATGGCCTCAGAGAGTAATTTTCTAATCTACTGAAAATATAAATATATACAGATGAAGAAGGCAAAGTGATTTCAAGCACATCTCAAATGAGGGATCCATTGAGATGCCCAGTAAATCAACTAGTCAATGTTCACCTCCCAACACCATCCTTTCCTTTGCTTCTCCATTTAAAAAAGTGTGAACTCAACAATACTTTCAAATATAACAGTTCATCATAGAAATTCAGAGTATACAATTAGTGACAACAAGCAGAACTGGTAACAGAGATAATTCTAGATGATCAATTAAGTCGATATTATTTTCCATCGAAAAAAACTATATTGAATGGCAGCAGAAATTTAATATCAGAGAAAAGTTGCAAAAAAAGACATGGACATATCCATCAAACATCAGGTCGCATTTGCAAATGGAATATGCCCCTTCAAAACAGTATGCTCAACATTAGTCCTTCAGGGAGACAAGATTACTTGGGAGGTCTGGCTTCAGGTCCACAGTCAACTGAACAGCAACCAAGGTATTTTCTTCATCTCGTGTTCCTAGTATAGCCCTTGAGTCTCCAACATTGCCTATTACGAGATCTTGACCCTAAATAAATCCAGTAAAAAATTTAGGTCCCACTGCAGAAGATCAGCACTCATGCTGATAGGATGTATGCGTAGAATCATTTGAAAACAGTAAGATCGACGAAATCACTCACTTTTTCATACGATCTACTGCTTTATTACATAGAAAAGTGATTTCAAAGATGAATTATGCTTCAATATAAGAAGAAATAAATGTGTACCTGCTTGATCAAGGTAACAGCTGTTGTCCCACTGCAGAAGCAATCAATGCCAGGATGCACTCTCAATTCCTTGTCCATAAATTTGAATGCCTTTAGGAACGACTCTCTCAGTATCACAAAGATCTCAGATTTCTCCTCTTTTTCGTCTGAATTCATTGTGGTCATTAACTCATCTTCAGTATGAACCGATGCAGATTCTTCTGAAATCGCGCTCCCTGTGAAGCTCCTTCGTTTCTCTCTCTGATCATCACAACCAGCATCTACGTCCCAATGAGTGCTCAGCTTTAAAGGAAGAACATCTCTAACTCTCTTTGCAACGATATGCCCAAATGGCCCATGGCCATCAAAAACTCCACAAAATATTGTGTTCTCTCTTGATCCAAAATTCTACAAGAAACAAAAATTTAACAGACAAATAAGCTAAGAGGTTTGTGTCGTTAACAAATAAATCAAATCGGCATGGAGAAACCTTAGTCACGTCATATAATCTCACATACTGCACGATTTGACCATAAAATTTCACGACCACAATTAACTGCAGGTTTACCCTTGTTATTGTATGCATGCGTGAAGTGAGGTGAGGGGATAAGCAAACAGATTGCTGCTGGTTTTAAAAGACATAGCCCTAAGCAGTCTAGTTTTACAAAATATTCTACAGAACTACAAGTCATTTCTTAAGAAGCGAATTTTATACCAAGCTAATTTGCCAGATGGAACAGATCACACAGATAAAAATTGAAAGTTCATTTGCCTAATGCTAATTATTTCCTTGTTTTGATAAAACATCCTCGTGATAATAGAAAATGAACTACTTTTTTTGTCATATCTGGTGATATTTTACGGAAAGAGTAGTGTTTTTGGCACTTTTGGAGACATGTCATAGCACTAATTTAAAAAGAGCTTCACGAGGATGATCTTGGGAGATCAAGAGTTTGAAGTCCCATGCGATTTAAGCCATATCAAATACAGACATTGGCATATTTTCAATAGTTCGTTTCGAAGCACCCTTAGTTTTGCAGAATTTTTTTATTACTAAGAATCAATTTTATTAATCCTGTGTTACTTAATAATACAACAGTTTAATTTATTTGATGGAGACCATGGTGAGGGCCGGTCAACTTTTCTAGTAGATATAAACAAATACCATCCTACCCTGGCAACGCCTGAGAAACATTTGAAAACTATGGTGCCATTGTAGTTATCATCCCAACAGCAGACCTCCCCATCAGTCTAGTCTTCGCCTATGACCTAAAAGGTCGAAATTCCAGAGAGTTGAATCTGATTTTGCAGCCAGATGCTGAACCATTTTTCCACGTATTATTTATACCACTCGTGCATACCTTGTTAAAAAATATGAGAACACCCGTTCTTAGCCTCAATAATCTATATAAATACAAAAGTAACGGGTTACAGTTTATGAGTCCAGTGTAACAAGTACAGAAATAAAACTAAAGACAGCAGAAACTCTAATAACTTCCCATCCCATTACGTTTGTATTTAAAAGTAAGGCTAGCCTAATATCAAGTGTTGAAACAAAAGAAGCTGACCAGGTCTCATTAAAACAGGAGCACAAGCACGAAAAGGGATCCAATGGTGAAATCCCTCGTTATGTTCGCTTGAAAGGAATGCAGGGAATCGAATGAAGGAAAAAGAATGCAGGGAAGAGTAGCTTTTCAGGGTAATGTGCAGAAAGAAAAACGAGATCAATAGGAAATCAGTGTGCAAAGAATTGAAAGCTCGAGAGGAGAAGAGAATCTAACCTCCCAGACGATCATGGCATCCTGATTAATTCCCTTCTTTCCCTGCTGGGTGAACAAGGAAGCCACGCTGCTGGCTCCATTGAGGAACATTCTGCCAGGGATGCGATGCAGCAGCTCGTCCGTCCGTGGATCAGAGTACCCCCTGGTTCCCTGCCTCTTCGTCACACCTCTCTGCTTCCGGTTAGTTCCTGAGGCAGCTGCCTCGGCAGACGTCGGGGATCCCCTCTGGCCATCTGACGACAGGCAGGAGCCCATCCCGAGGGCCCTGACTATGTCGAGTAAGCACTCCAGAACAGCCGCACACTGGGACACCTCGTTTCTCGTTGAAGGATCCGTCGAGAGTCTCCGGTGCGACCACGACCTCCCTTTGCTTGCCAGTTCCTAGAAACTCCCTCCTCGAGTTCCGATGTCGAAATCCCAAAATTATAATTCTCACGGAAGGAGTCGAACCAGATGCGATCTAACTTTTAGGAGCGTTGCAGGCGTGTGCGAGGGGAGATTTGAGCCAATCCGCGCATCCACTAGTTGGTGAATGATCAAAGGCAAATATCTATCAGCCTCTTCCTGAATATGAGATGTGGAGCAAAAGTGGAATCCTCCGCAGGACTTGCTTCGGGAAGAGGCAGGACAAGAGCTAAGTCCGGAGTTCGGAATCTTCTCTCCACCGTTCTCCTCCACAGTCTCTCTCCATAGGGATGCAGAGAGGCTACAGAAGATGTGCCAAGGACAAACGCTCTTCCTCTGCGAACCAGAGGAATTCTCCCCTTTCTTAATTCCCCCGATTTCTCTCTTTTGCCCTTGTCCGGCTGCAGTAGGTAACAAGTCGAGGGACAAATTCCAGAAAGCAACAAAAGTACGTACTTACACGATCCCAGGCACCTGGCAGAGATCACGGAGGCTGCGGACAAGAATGCGAGGAAGAAGAAACTAGATCGTTAGGAAAACCAGGGAGAAACTCAGAGATGAATGGGCGAGGAGGTGTGGCCTAGTTTGCCGATGGGACCCCGAGCATCTCCCCCCTTCCTCCACTTTCTGGTTCCTCCTCTCCCTCGTCTTCCCTCCAGAATCTCCAGACCCCGTGCCTCTCAACCCTCTCTCTCTCTCTCTCTCTCTCCCCCACCCTTCAAACCATCTCTATGTCTGTCCTCTTTCCGCCATCCTACGGCGATTCCTTCTCCACCTGGGAGTATTTCCCTTTGTGCTAATCCTTCTCACCACGTTTTCAACATCTTGATGTGTATATAGATGGTCAAACCTACCCCTCTCTCTCTCTCTCTCTCTCTCTCTCTCCCGCGTTCGCAACCAGTCAATTTCTCCATTTTTGCAATAAATGAAATTCTGACCAAAGCTTGAGATTATAAATTCGTCCGTTTCCCACGTACTAAATAAACAAAATATCCCGTTTTCCCTCTCCTACAGCTCCAGGTCTGGTCCCCTCTCGTCCAAGGACGATAACCGTCTTCTGAGAAATTATTCATTATTTTAATCCACGTGGCACAGTGGGTGGCGGGGAGGAGGATAATATCATATTCCACTGTTTCGAGAATTATCACAATATATATCCATATAATTCATCGCGTCATCCATTGGCTCATAACCTTATCCTATACTACCCAGGGTGTCACCACGCACGTGCGAAGGCCTTGTGCGTCTCTATACGCAACAATCACTGCAAAATTCGGTACGCTTTTGCAAAAAAGGCCCTTTAAATTTCAGGAAGTATAAGTTAACCCCAATATAATGATGCGCTTGAGGAAAAGCCTCTTTGCCTCAAAAATATGAAATAATAACCCCATAACTATCTTTTAAAAAATATGAAAAAATAAATCGTTATCTCCTGCATTAATTAAAAATTGATATACATGCACACTAATAGAAAGCATGTGTAATTACTTCATAAATGACATACATGCCGGGCTAAGCTCATGGTTAATTTTTTAATAATCAAACAATTGTTAGAGAAATTCGCAACAACAATTAGTGATTTTGAGTCATTCATAAAATTAATTTTGAAAATTATACTAATCTGAAAAGGAAAACATAACAAATTTCTCATGGGCTATAAGTATTGCCAACTACCAACCAACTCGGATTTAATTTTCCATTTACGGGTCAATTATTAACAGGTCATACAAAATAGGGAGAGAGAGAGAGAGTTGGCTCGGAGTAGGTCCAGGATGACTGGGCAGTAGTGATACCCCATTCGGCCATTCGAAAGATGAAGAGCTACCAAGCCGCATCTGTTGAGGACAACATGACACGTGTAACAGCACGCCTCGCACGTGAGATCAACATGCTGCATTATATAATTTATGACGCTGATATTCACCAACCGTTGTGGATCCACTGCTAGACGTGTTCCTCCGGAGTCTCTCGGTGACGCAGGACTGATCATGTTTCAAACGTGGAAGAGAGTTGTACAAGCTTCAACAGATCCCCGTCCAGAAGGGCTCTCTCTCTCTCTCTCATATGCGGATCAGACGCAGGTGCCATCATCTTGATTGACCTTTAGCCTTAAGAAGCCAGTCAACGGTCCAAAGACACCCGGGTTCAAAGATATATATACTCGAAGGATAACGTAGCCACCAGCATCTTGATTGACTTTTAACCTTAGGAAGTCAGTCACCGGTTCAAAAGATACCCGGGTTCAAAGATATATATATACTCGAAGGATAACATAGCCTAACTGAAGCCTAAAATTTAAAGTCAACGGTCCATGAAACGAATTCCAAGAATTACAAGACGAAGAAAAGAAATAATAAATATAACCCAATAAATTGAGAGGATCGGGCAACCTGAGTGTGACCCAAAAAGGATTCAAGCTCAAAACTTTGGGCCACAATCGTCTGCAGGAGAGAGATCCCCAACTCTTCTTGCCAAATGGCCAACCTGGGAAGCAGACCCAATGGAGATCCCTTAGAAGAAGGGATCATCGCCCTGCTTCGGTAATTACCCAGAATAGGACCTGTTGGCACACCCATCAAGAGACCATGCAGAGCCGGAAGCTGTTCCTCTCCCCCCCCACAACATATCATCATCAGTGGCAGTAGAGCTTGATCACAGAATCCGCGCCAGCAGTGAACAGCCAAGGCTGTCTGGGGTGGAACTTGCAATCCAGGATGCCTGAATCAGGAAGTCGAATCCTCGTCAAGAATCCAACATAAAATTTCATGGAATCCCAGACACCAGATGCGATGCTGAAGAACAGATAATAACAATAATAACAATAATAATAATAAATGTAGAGATGATGGGTTTCTCTGGAGCACCTGGTTAAATAAACAGGATTGGATGCCCAGAAAAACCCTAAAATTGTCCGAGTATGATCACTTTTCCATTGACATCAAATCATAGAGGATAGATTAACAAACTTTGGGGGGAATGGATCAGCACCAAGTAGAATATATATCACACCAGATCGGCATCCCTGACAAGTTTTCTAATCAAAATATTTGACCACAACTCCACTCGCATGAATACAAAAGGTATGTAACTCCATTAATATTTTGTATATATATTTTTCTACCGAATTCCTGTATTTCCGTGGCCATACTCCACAACATCATTTGCTTTCTAATGTATGGCATGACAATGCTCAACGAAGGAAGAGGCAAACTGCATAATATAAACAGTATGATATGCATACACACACAGACATATATATATATATATATATATATATATATATATTTCATGTTGAAATGGAAACCAGTCAGAGATCAGATTGATATGGTTTGGGCTCACCTCGGCCATTTGAGCTTGCATGCCCCCGAAGAATTTCCAAAGGAACAATGAGAGGGTTCTGGTTGAGATCTGAATAAACCATCCCATGAAAGACATACGCAGTGCAATCATCGGAGGATGAAGCAAAAAGGGGGTATGAGCGATGGAAAGCCACGTTAGTGATGTCCTTCGGATGAGCCCTGCAAATCATCGGCAAAGTATCATTCAACAGATGCAGAAGAACATGTGTGAAGATCCCAAATATGATAGCAGCGAAAACTGGGGAATCACTGGTTCAATTGAGAACACCAACAGATGACGGAGACTTATCATCCAACAAAATGCATGAATATCAGGCAAATTACTTGCAGTTAGCTAAAGACCAATTCCCAAGTTAGCCCTGCTAGTTAGGAAACATTTGTCAAGGGGACCAACAGACAGGCTTTGAACAGAGCAAACTTGGAGCTTTAACTTTTCAAGGTCAGATTACTTGCTAGCCCAGCCAATATTTATATGCTCCTGCAAATCACGCATGATTCCTCCCATATTGGGAAACCCATCTTCCGCCACTCAGTCATACGCAAGTCAACACCTTTAACGTAGAGAAAGGCATCAACTGGCGAAAGCTGAAACCATTTTGAGCTATCAAGAACTTTTAGGGGATTAATTGTGATTACAATCGCCAGGTTCCACATTGTACAAGTATGAACATATGCAGGATACATGGGAGCTGAATGTCGTTAACCAATATTGAGAGCACTGGTCGAAAATCAATGGGCAACGACAGTTGGCAACAGTCGAGACCCCCAGCCATTAGAAAAAAATCGCAAACGTTTTCAAGAAACACCTTCAATTATTAAATATGAAGGAAAACTGAAGGCGCCATCCATGTTAAATAACTCATAGTTTTTGGGTCAATTATTGATCGCTAGATTCAGCCTGCTTAATTGTTTCTGAGAGTTTTTCATGTCTGTCAAGAATAAGTTCTGATATGAGGCAAAATCATCAACTGATTCATTACTACACAAGTACAAGCGTCAGCATCATCAGCAATCCACTATCAACCAGACTATTTCATGTTAGCTATCTTTGTGATGTATCGGCAAACAGGAAGATCATGTGTCTCCTAAAGTGTCACAAATAGTTCCCATGTTCATGGGATCACGATTTGTTTTTGCCATTGATAGCCAGTCAGACAACGATTATCCACATCATCACTTATTTGAGACACAGGATGAACGGGTTTGCTCCTGAATTAGCTCATAAATTAGGGCGACATTTTTTATTAGTGTAGAGCCATTTTTTTTCCAGCAAATCAGAGTCCTGTAAATTTCCAGATTACTATGCTGTTCAATCCGCCAAAATTCAATTTAAAAAGATAGTCTGATGGTTGCCCAGCAGTTCAATGAACAAAAATATAGTATTCTATCAATAAACTGATCCTACCAAGGCTTCTTATAAGCCTTCTCCCACTGAAATTGAACTTAAGCATACATTTTGCACAAATAAGCCAAAAAAACATTCAAACTTTCATAATCTTGTTGTCCCTTAATTATGCTGATATTGGTGACGTTGTCAGCGAAGGTGATGATGATCTATTTTTAGCTGTGAAACAAATTATAGTGCATATGAAAATAAATACGCCTCTCAATACAGTGCCTTCTTATGGTAAAACCCTGCAAAGTTTCCATTCTAGTACAAGATTAGCCTCAGAAACACGATATTTACAGAACAATGAAATTCCAGCTTCAATGTTCAATAAAGCATTTGACTTTATACGTTTTTGCATCTGAGAATATATTCACAAGCGACCTTTAATTTTCGCCAATAATATCGACATCATCAGAAGCATATATGGTGTCCAAACATCGGCAGAAGCATACGTTGTCATTATGTAAACAGTCCACAGGTTCAAAAACGTAATATTTCTGAAAAACATGAGACAAATGATAATTAAATACAAGAATTGGTCCAAGATGACAGACCTCAGGGTTTTGTATGGTTTGGACGACAAATCCATGTCAAACCAGCACAATTTCCCTTCCTTGCTCCCCACAATGACATTGTCACCTGCATAGATTGGGAATGCATGCCACAGCCAAATGACTCACTGTCTTATAGAGCAGAAGCATACTCTGTTATCAATTAATGAAACTACAATGAAAAGAGCGGAAAAGAAAGTGAGAATAACTAACCTCCAGGATGAACAGCAACAGATGAAATTTCTCGTATGGATGGTTCTAGCTTCTTCATGAACTTGGGCTTTTCCATCGAAAGATCATAAACACGAACATTCTTCTTCGTGGCAATGAATAAAATACGACGTGACGGGTGGAAAACAGATGATACAGGCAGACCATGCAACTTCTTGAGAGGATTAAAGGTGAGCTTCTTGGAAAGTCGGTGTATCAATATTGCTCTTGATTCACGTATACAAGTAGGTCAAGGAATATCCCAAAAAAATGAAAAATGCAACTCTTTATATGTCTAGCAATTATAAACCAATAAAAGAATTAAAATTTAACCCGATTGAATGAATAATCCAAAATTAAGATATGTTCCAAACTGTTTGAGGCTCCGTTAAAGTAAAGCATAACGAGTCTTGTACTGATTGTGAAGACCGCAAAACCCCAACACCTGCTCTTCATCCACTCTCCATACCCTTTCCATATGAAGTAGTACGTTATATTGTGTAAACTATCTTAAGAATCAACTCTGCGGTTTACTTTCCAAAATTAAATGCATCCCAACCATTACTCCAAGACAGAGAATGGAAGAAGCTGCCATTTTCAGTCGAATAGGGTTTCGTCTGCAAAGTACCATTCTACATGATGGAAATCCACAAAAAAACGCATTAATGTGCATTCAACACTGAGATTAACTAATCCCGCCAAAGTTCAATGAATCGGCCAACTGGCACACGGATTAAAATCAAAGATCGCCGTGACATTGAGATCCTTTAATTAAATATTTGTTTATGTACAGTTCAAAATTTCTCAAATATTTTCTCATGTATTTTATCAAACTTTTATGTTATCGTAAATAGGACATTACTTGGATCAGACCTGATCAACCTAGGCTCCTACACCAATCTTATCATTCATGTCCATTGTTCCACATGTGAAATGCTTGACCAAAATTTTCATGTAACTACTAAGATCTTAATGCCTCAAGTCTGAACCTGTTCCTGGAAGGTGATGAAACTGGCTCATATCTCTGACAGAGTTATAATGATATCATCCCCATAGGTACATAAAAAACAACTAAATCCCATTCGCAACTCTTCATCAGAACTTCATTCCTATGTCACAACTAAAAACTGTATTAATATAAAATGAAAAAAATACGAATGAAACTCATCAGTACAAGCAACCCGGCTACCAAACACCATGCCAACCATCTGGAACTCAAACATGCATAATCTCAAGAATATGCCACTCAACCAAGCTGAATTATACAAATCCCGATTAAAAGTAAAACTGGCCCATTAGCAATGTCAATGAATTAGTATACCCAAATGCACACGTTGGAAAAAATACGATTTCTCAAATAGCAATAAAATTAGGCCCGAAAATTGCAAAACTTAGTGGTCAGAAGCCCAAAAATATAATATATTTCTATTCTGAAGAATTAGCCCATTATTTTCAATTTGTAGTCGATATAACACACGGTCTGGAGCTCCGATAGGCACCCAGCACTCGTGGAAGAAGAACTCAAACTTTATTGATCAAAAACAGTTTACAAGGAGAGCAGGATCCAGTATTTATACCAGATCCCTAGAAGGTTCTGGACATACTGATGTAACACGAAATGAAAGGTACATGAGGACATATATGTAAACATGTAAGGTATACAGGTTATTAAGTACATCTCGACAACACAATTGAAGTGAGTGTACTGCTTTACCAGTAATTAGGAAAATGGGATTTTGAATAACAGGTGGACTGCATGGCCAACTGGGCTACGAGAAAATAGCATGACGCAGTACATGTCAGAGTAGGCCAACCCACAACCTTTAGTACCTCAAGGGTTTTCTAATCTTGAGAAAAAAAAAGCAGATGTTTCTATGAATTAAATCAGATTGCAGAAAAAATTGAAGATATGTGCTTGTTGAATGGTCTTATGTCCATTACGTAGTGAGGTTAGATAAATCGGTATTTAGATGGCTCTTTTGCTATCTAGTCATCAAATGGAATGCAAGTCATAGACCAAAAATAGTGGCAAAATTTAACTTTACAAAAGGACCATGATCCAAAAAAAATCGCTTACATAGAATACACATAATAAGCCTGTCTTCGTAAAGCACACAATCAATGATAAAAAAATTGAAGTGTAAATCTAAATCGCCTTCACCGATCTTAAAAAGAAAACTACCAGTTCACAAAGACTGACTGCAAATAAATGCACATCTATTAAAAAAGGAAGGATTATTCACAATGAGGAATATTATGGCCTACTGTGCCCATGAAATAAGTCACAAGGATATCACTAGGAGCAACCGTAATGAAGTAGTCTCCTTTAAAATGCCATTCAACAGACGAGACAGCCTACATGACAGAAAAAGCTTGATAAATAGAATGCAGAGAGAAGAATGTATCAACATATTAATCTCCAACCTCAGAATGAGCAGAAAATGTTCAGCATTACCTTGGAGTGTTCCAGTCTGATGGCATCAAGCTTGTCATGTCGTAACCATCGAACCAAAGGTTTGGTGTCACCTTCTGCGTGGAAGTATGAAGACACTGTCAACGGAGAACCATTAATAAAAATACTCAGCACAACTAACACTGACCAGCATCATCTTCCTCAACATGGAGCAGTTCTTTTGCTCTAAATTGCTCCTCTGCATTGCCAAGACCCGTATCCAACAAAACTACATCTTGGCCCCTAAAAAAAGATGCCACTTACCTTAAAATTTTCTACAGTTGAACGTGAAATAATAACGTGGATCAGCACAAAGTCGTACACAGAAACAGCTAGAAGAGGAAGATCAGGCAAAGGATTCCAAGCAACGTGCTGGATAGATTCACCAAACTCCCAGACTTTCAAACATCGACCAGTTTCAACATCCCAGACACGAACTGTTCCATCAGTTGAGCCTTCAAAGATCATGATTCACGGTTAAGAGTTTCCAGAAGATTGTTGGATAGTAGCAATTGAACATGAGGAAAAATCCATCTAGTGAAAATTAAGTATCGACTGGAAAATAGAGATAGGCATCTACAAAATGAAAGAGAAAAAAATTGGAATCGAGTAAGGATGATGATAGGAGCACCTGAAGCAATCCACTGCCCTGTTATTTGGACAGAAATGGACTTTACAGAACCTCTATGGCCTTTGTACTCAAGATAACATAATGAGGGGTAAGGCTTTAGATCTTTCCGACTTGGAAGTTTTGGCTTAAGTGACTCAGGGTCAATATTAATCTGAAGAAGATAAAAAAGAAAGTATGAACCAGGTTTTTTCTTAGGAAAAAAAAAATTATATTCAAAGAATCGTCAACATAAACCCAAAGGAGATTCTTGAGTTGCAACCACTTACACGTTTCTTTCTTGTTCTTGGGCACAGATATAAGTCTAACGAGCGTTCAAATGCATCTCTGATAGCACTCTCATAGGCAGGAACATTTCGAAGGGACTCAAACCTGCAGCACAATCAGATGAATCCAAAGAATTTCAGTTGTAGGTTTCAAATAAGAAATGCACCCACAATTAAGTAATTTAAACCATGTAAAAATACCTTCTAGGAATGAATTTAGGTCGATCTTCGTCATACATTAGCTGGTAAGAATTAATCTCTTCCTGTGTTGGAATATACTCCACGGATGGATTATATGACTCGTCATGACCTGGGCATCAAAACAATATCAGACTATAAATACTCCAAGCACCAAATTGCGGAAGATTTTCCTTTGCCTCTTAAACTAGCCTTCAGCTGACTTCAGTTTAAAATAAGGGGAGAAAAAACGATTGGAGCATAGAGCGAGAACTTGAGTATCATAAAAATGATAAAACTGTTATAGCAGAATACATGAAGTATTGTCAATGGAAACGAAGTAATAGAGGTGGCAAACATTTCATTATAGAAAAAGAGCACAATGAGAAAACATGCTAGTTTCTGCAGAGGAATAACAAAAAAAATATCAGGAAAGAACCAAACAGCTAACATATGGCAGACACAAGATTCTAAGAACTTTACATTTTTTGCCTTTTCCATTTATTGTACTTCAAATAACAAGAACCTTGAAGAAGTCACCTGGTAATTTCGGTTTTGGTGCAGGAATATAGCTTAATCCATGTCGTGTATTCTCAGCAGAACTAGAATCATCTCCCCATAGCATATAGAAGCGTGGTTTCTCCTTTTGCTTCTCGAACTTGATCAATCCCTTCCGTATGGCTCTAACATATTTCACAACCTAAAATGAAACATCGAAATCCACCAAACAGTGCCATGAGCAAAGGTCGTTCACACTGTTCTTCTTCCATTCATGAAATTGTGATACCAGTAAGTTTAAACAATTATATCTACTGTATATTTTTTAGGAGACAATGGACAATTTTACGACAATTGGACAACATGAGAGTTTTAGGAGAATGGTAGGAAAGATATCAATTTCCTGTCAATAAGACGTTCCACGAATATTTCATGGAGTAAGACAACGAAGTAGTCAGATTTACATTTTTGAGCAAGAAAGCATGATTCTTGTTGATTAATTATATTTTCGAGAGAATGGAAAATTTTACGATAATGGGACAACATGAGAGTTGATGTAGGAGAAAGGTAGGAAAGGTATCAATTTCCTGTCAATGAGACATGTTCCACGAATATTTTATACAGTAAGACAAACGACGTAGTCAGATTTATATTTTTGAGCAAGAAAGCATTATCCTTGTTGATTAATTATGAAAGTGATCAGAGCCATTATAGGTCGTAAAGTAAGAATAACAATACAAACTCTACATTCTATTAAAAGTCGCAATGTACCTAGGTCGTGGATGTCATTGCTCTAAAATAATCAAGTAGCGGTGACAGAAGTGAACATAGGATATGAGAGCACTGTACATTTATGTGATATCAATATCATGCATTACATCTCCCAAGTGAACACCACAAAGCAAGGGATGGTTTCGTAGTTCTCTGCATTTAGGAAAAATCCTAGGATGAAATGAAAGGCCTTACTAATTTAAGAAACAACATATACAGTACAACTCGTATTCATGTGAAGTAACATCATCAGAACCATATTTAAGGCATCTACTGGGCTTGGCTACGAAAAAAATGGGACCAAGACACACAGGGCATCTACCCACCAAGGCAAGCAGCCCAACACAGTGCGCAACTGGATCACCTGAGCATAGGGTGATCACCTTGGATCACCTGGTCAGCAGGAGCACAGGAGGGTTTTAGAGAGAACCCTAACATGGCGAAACACATTACCTGTAACAATGTGGCACATGAAAGCAAAATCCACCATGTCGCACATGCATGAGTAACCAATGCACCGCGTTACATATAACGGATCACTTTCTCATATCATGCAAGAATGAAGAATGGGTAATGTATCATGTCACGTATTATTTATCACTTTCTTTTATCAACCGCACATGAATAGCTGATGCATTGTGTCACACAAAATAGATCACTGTCCAACGAAATGAGACTTCAATGAGTTGTCTGCATCCAGAAGCAAATCATTGAAAATATTAACAAGTTACCTTTTTATGCTCCCATTTAGAAGGTATAAATCGTCTCTTCGGCTCAGGAGCACCTGACAGTGGCATCCCCTTTTCTTCCCATTCGAACCAATCGACATAGGGCTGCAAGAAAATGAAATCATAAAAAGTGACGTCAGTTCACATAACATTTTTCCATAAATGATATTGAAGATATGTGATAAGAATTTTAAAAGGACATGGATTATATATGAAGCAAAATATAAGCTTTACAAACCGCATATGGATCAACATCAGCATGAGGAGTTTTTCCCTTCAATATTCTGCCAATTAGTCTTCTCTCTTCCTTCGTCAGCTCTATCTCTTCATCATTGTACTCATCATAAATCTTTCTCCTAAAGTGTAATCGCATAAGATGCATGAAATAGACATTCAGGTGCATTGGATAAAGCAGGATAAAAAACATAGGTACTTCACAATACTATGAAACAAAGTTTAGGCCGTTCAATCACAAGAGGTGGATAACAACATGTTTCCAAACATAGACTACGCACTCATTTTACTCCTTTGCACCATTTTCAGAGAGATATAGCTTGGAAAAGGAAAAAACTAAGTCCAAAAAAACAGATGATTTTGAAACCCTCCCATGTGGGATTTGAGAATGGAACCAATGCTCTTTCCCAAAAATTATAAGTAGGATCCTCAAAAAAAACCGACTGTCTAAAAGTTTTAATTTGCTATATAAAGAAGCTTTCATTAGAAAACATAATTTTTTCAAGACTATTTTCAGTACGGGTGCTGGGGAAAGCATGAGCTATTATCCCAATTCATAACAAAAATACTAAATATAGTACCCTTCAATTTTTAGTGGAAGACAATAACATTGAATGGAAATAATGATTATGTGGTTAATAGTGGAGCCTCAGCTGACAACCATCCTTCCAACCAGAACCATCTAGCAAAGAAAGCATTTCTGAATTTCACCATCAAATTCCAGTGGAAATGTATGCACTGATTGAATATTTTTCTGTGACAAAATATGTCAAAACTGCCAACCAGCCACTGCCATATTCTCAGATGATCAGGACAGACCCAAAAATATTGAGCTAATAACTTTGATGATGATAATGATAGAATGATAGAATGATCAAATGTTCATATTTATCATTTAAAGATATTCCCTCCCTCCCACCCAAGAGTGATAAAGCTGTCTACACTTCGCAATTAGAGAAATGAGCTAGTGCTCATATTTATCATTTAAAGATATTCCCTCCCTCCCACTTAGGAGCAATAAAGCTGTCTACACCTCTCAATTGGAGAAATAAGCTTCAAGGAAAAATGAGTGAGTAGCAACCAACCCTTTCCAACATTGGATCTGTAGCAAATGAAGAAGCAGCGCTATTTTGTTATTTTACATGAAGCACTGGCTCTAAAGTAGGTCCAATTTTCGTGCTTTCACTTTTCGTTGAAGAGTTAAAGAAAATAAAAACAATGTCACAAAAGTATATCAAAGTAAAGAAGGGTAACAAGAGTAAGGAAGATATAAATAGAAAAAGAAGCGTCTATTCTCTGTAGTTCAGACACATAAAATCCCAGAGACGGAGCATATAAGCTGGTGTCCAAATTCTGAGGTCAGTTGGTTCAGAATTTATGTCTATTGTCAAACAAACACCCGTCCACTAAACCTCTAGAGATAATAAGGATGGCTTAGAGACCCTAGAGTAGACCGAGTAGACATACATTCGCCTCAGATATTAAGTAAACAAATTAAGGTTGAAATGATGCCCAGTGGACTCGATTTCAATAAAAGATTGTGTTTCTAATTTAAACCAAGTTTGAAGCAACACCACAGAATGGTTGCTTTGAATGATTGTCGGGGACGAGTTCTTGTACACCTTACTCTCTAATGGCTTGCATATGTAAACAAAAAAGACAAGTATCAAGGGGAACGCCTGTACCGGAGGCTGTGAAGGAAGTACACAACTAGGGAGCATACTTCTCACTATATAAAATCGAAGGGATGAAAAGTTACATAACACATCCAGAATCATCCCAGTCATTGTCCCGCCGACATTTACGACCATCACGGCCCAAGACCAACACTACTCATCACTTTCTACCACAGTTGCCCATGGCCTTAGCTATCACTCACCAACATGAACACAACATCACTAATACCACCAGCTATCTCACTCACTTTCACCACCACCAGCTACACTCAATACTTGTTTTCCTGTAGTCCTCATCTACCACCACTCATCGTCATAATTGCTGCACCATCATTACCATCCACTAATACCACCATTATGTCATCACCAGCACTAACACCTCTGTTGCATACAAACCACTACAACCCACCACTGACTTCATCCCTTAACATCACTTACCATCTACTCTCACTTCTTTCATTATTGCTTTTTGCTGCTGCAATCTACCAAACGTATGTAGCACTGACATAGTCGCCTCCCACAGAATATTATTATCAATTGCTTTCATCTCACCAGCCACATAACATAACATCAATATAGACTATCACTTACAAGGCATTGCATTGACTATCACTGCTGCATTTGATCGCAGTTGTTCACTACCTATCGCCTTATCCTACCTCCAGCACCACTACATAGAGAGCTACACTCCAACATCATACATCCCCCATTATCACCCATCTGTTAGCACCAATAACTTGAACTATCCACATTTTCAGATTATCATAAGAAAAAAAATTAAAACTTAAATTTTTAACAAGTATTTATTAAATGACTAGGCTCTCTCTCTCTCTCTCTCTCTCTCTCTCTCTCTCTCTCTCTCTCTCTCTCAGAGTAAATATTTTAGTTTTAAATTCTTCTTTGTGTATTGACAAAAGGTTCTGAACTAAAAAAAAATTGGACATTTTGTTTCCACATTCTCAAGGATTGCTCGCTCAGTATGCAACATTACTTCTTCACTAAGGTTGAAGACAAAAACTAGATTCGTGGGCATCAGGCTTCCATGTTCTCAAGCATTCCTGACTCCATATGCTACTTTTTTTTCCTTTCATGGAGTCTTTTTTAAAATTCATACACGTTTCAATTCATGGATGTTCCACGTTTTCCTCCAGTATAGTGGACAAGACGTCAATTACACTGTCAATCACGTCACTCAATATTGTTTATATACTGTAGCATATTCAACATCATTGTTCAGTTTTAACCATCAGAGTTCTCAAAAAGATATCGGTCAAAAGAAAACCCATCTTTTTAAGATTGGCTACTTTAAAAAATTACAAAAAAAAAGTTTTGGTTGATTTGGCATCTGAAAAAAACAATATGCAAACTTGGCAGAAAAAGCACCTGGAAGTTAATGCTCAATGGCCAGATTGATATAGGAATCAAAGATATTCTGCATTTCAAACTTACAAAAAATACGGTATAGAGTTCCTTAATCATATCCAGATTCCTTTAACTGCACTTTAGATGTTCACATTCATCACCATTATGGCGTTCATTGGTAAATACTGACCCACAATATCTCCTAGGGTGACGATAGGAGTGACAATGGACAGGACTATGGAGAACAGAGAAACAAAGTGCGTGTTATCGGTTGAGGTGGTAATAACGGTTTGAGTAAAAATTCAAATTGAAATCATATCCAAGGATCTAGATGGTAACTCCTGCGTTCAAAGTGGACCATGAGGTAGCAACTGAAACTAAAAAGTATACAGATAATGAGGTGAAGTCAAAGAAGCATCTGTTTCCCTAAAATCTTCTAAATTCCGAGTATCATGGGGACTGGGGAGGGGTCAAATAGCCTCCTCAGTCCCTAAGGCTGAGCAAGATGCATTAACAGCATCATTTACCATTATAGCAGGGTTGTTTCCCAAATGGAAGATAGTCGAAAGATGCCAACATACTTCAAAAATGAAGATCATTTATGGGGGGAAATACCCGGAAATTAATAAATGAAAACCAGATATCTATACGATTAATCAATGGGATAGAAAGCTCACCAGTTCTTAGAATCATCAACACCAGCTAGGAATGAATCGATCTTGTCCCTCTTGGCCTGCTTTCTGATTTTCTTTCCGGCAATGTCATATCCAATATGCTCTTCCTCGTCGTACCAATGTAGGGGGACGTTTCCAACCGTATTCCTATCAGGCACTTCGTCTTCGGAAGAGTCACTCTCCTCGGCAACCCCAGCATCGCTTTCCCCACGTTCTTCTTCTGCTCCCCCCTCTGAACCCTCCTGTACATCATAGTCGATTCAAGAAGCTTAAGCTCGAGAAAATTAGCTGTAAGATGTCGAGAAAAGGGTGGGAGCCTTCTAAGTACCTCATCTTCCAATGACCCTCGATCGTCCTGACGAGCTCCGACCTCTACCGCAACCCCATCCTCTTCGCCAGAGCCGTCCCCGGCTTCTTCTCCTGGGATTTCTTCCTCAGGCATTTCCTAAATTTTCCAACCCCCGTGTTAAATCACTTTCTCCGTCTTCAATGGAGAGACGAAGAAGACGCAATTCCCTGACGCAACAGAAACCGTACCTGCGGCGGCGTTGACGGCGGCGGCAGCGGCGGCAGCGGCGGCGTTTTCTTGGTTTCCACTCTCTTCTTCGCCATCTTCCTCCCCGAGCGTCCAAGTCTGGTGCTCTGTGGAACTCCACAGCAGAGAAACCCTAATGTGGGGTTTTTCTCTGCATTAGGCGGGAGCCACCCTCGGTCGTGGAAGGGGCGGCACGAATCGGGTAAGCGGCCGTCATGGGGAAGGCACGTATCTCTACAAGGGTATAAATGTCACAACAACTTTAGAGAATCTATTCTGAAAATCGGGTTTTCCAAACGGAATCTATTCTCCCTCCCGTTCCCTAATTGATTTACCTAGTCGTTCCTATGCCACGCCTACCTCGTAGCTAAAGGATCAAATACAAAGAGATACTCAAAAGTCAACTTTGCACAGTTTGGGGGTCAACTCTTTTAAATAGAATATGAAGTTAGGAAAAAAAATCAATGTAACTCGTATGAAGGTTAATCTTTATGTTTGAAGAATAAAAAGTACACATATGCCTAATGTGTAGATCAACACTTTGACATAGAGTAAAGCCATAAGTCAACGCTACACATTCTTAAGAGTCAACTCACAAAAAGTGCAAAAAAATATATGCTTAAAATAATAAAGAATATAACATTGTTTAAGTTGTAGGTTGACTCTTAATAGTGGCATTTATAATGAAAGGTAGTCAAAAGTCAACGTTGGACAACTTAGAGGTTGACTACTTATAAAACTAAGTGGTTAAGAATAAATTAACATAATTTATAAGGTTTATTCTATAAAAACTTTTGAAAAAATGTTTAAATCGTAGCTTTAATGGGTAGGTTGAGCCACTAAAATATCTATTTCCAAAATTATCATAAGTTCTCCTAATAAATTGAACTCATGGAGATCCTTATGGACCAATGATGGGCTTTTCATGGACATGCCCCAAGGCTTATTATACAGACATTTCCCTTCTATCTAGACATCATGATGTACATCAAAGTGTGAATAAAATATATTATTATGTTCCCATTGAATATATGTCACCATTCCAACCCATCTCCTCTTGGCACAACAAGCCATTGTGGTTCCCCCTACAAGCCAAGCCAGCCCACTTCAACATGATTGACATGAACTTGGGCAAATGCTGCCATACATTAAACTAACAACAAGCCCATCCATCCATCATCTATGGCATGCCACAATACATAAACTGTGGAAGAAAAATAAAGGGTCATTAATACTTGATTTATTTCAAGGCATTTTATCCAATGTCACATCCACTTTCCATCAATACCTTGATTTATCCTTTTTTGTCAATATTTGTGATTTACATTCAAAATAATGATCTGTAAAATGGTATGAAGGGTCATTAAAGTGGCATCTTGATGCATGTGAAATTATAATTAACTTATTATCAAACAACATGGCATATGACAATAAATAAAAATTCCATTTAAGTACAACAAAGAGACTCAAGAAGAACGCATCTAAAGGACTCAAAACTTCAAAGTACACATGCTATTCTCATCATTGATTATGAAAAGAAATGTGCTAAATAGCTAAGAACTTAGAATAACAAGGTACTTTGGGGAAACATGATACATGCATTATTGAACATCACTATGGAGGCAAAATGCTCTATATGCCAATATTGCTCTGGTCATTTTTAAAAAAAATCATTTTTATGTTGAGAATAAGAAGATGTTCAAATCCTTTTCATATAGTAAGAAATTATTTATTTTGCATGCAAAATTAGTGATCACAAATATTTGGGGAAGGTAGAGAGAGAGCGAGAGAGAGTGAGTGAGCGAGTGAGTGAGATAGAGAGAGAGAGAGAGAGTACGGTGTATATTTTTTTGTAAAAAATATAATTTTAATAAATAATATTCTCGTATTTACATACGCTGTATATTTTTTATATAAAAAATATAAATTTAATCAATAATATTCTCGTATTTACAGAAAAAAATATTTACATAAAATATTTGGTGCTGTCCATTGAGAGTAATAATACTAATTAATTTTCACTATCAATTTCGAAGAAGCCGCCGAAAACGGCATAAAAGTGCGGCGGCTCGAAAGCCGAGTCGTTCGGCGGCGCCGATGGCTCCTCGGGCAGTGGCGGCGGTCAGCCGGAAGTCCTACGCGCTGGAAGGAGCCAACAAAATGGGAAAGTGGCGGACGTCTCTGTCTCATGCCATGTGACTCCAGAATCTGGTGGGTTTGTCCAGCAGCGAAGCCGCCGCCGCACCCAGCGCCGGTGGTGGAGAGCTGCTCAGAGGCAAGAGAGATAGGTAGCGTTTGAATCTCGATTCCGCGGCGGAGGGAGGGATTGCATTTCAGAGCAGAAGTGCAGAGTAGGAATGGGGGAAGGAAGATTCCTGCCGCCAATGTGGCTGCGTTGCTCCGGCGACCGGTGCTCTTCTCCCGCCAGGAGGTGGAGTTGTTTTATAATTCCGCCCTCCAAGTGGATCGTGCTCCTTCTGCTGCTGGCCCTGGCTGGATCGGCTAAGGGAGAGGACCCCTACGTCTACTACGAGTGGGAGGTTTCCTACGTTTCTGCCTCACCTCTAGGTGTCAAGCAGCAGGTTCCCCTGGTCCCTCGGCTTCTTCGAATTGTCCTATCTTTTCATGATTTGCATGCGTTACTCCTGCTTTCTTCTCTGCGTCTAGTGGAGCAAATTATATACTGTGTAACGTCGTACCTCTCCGCATTCCTTTGGTTCTTCTAATTATTGCTCTTTTTTGTTCCCATTTGAGGGATATACCTTTTGTTCGTCCGCGTTAGCATGAAGTCTGGTGCCTGAGACCAGAAGAAGATACATCTGTGGCTACTATTTTTTTTTTACTTCTTGCACTAGTCTTGCTTCCCTCGTCAACCAAACGACGTGACTTCCTTGGTTTCATTATATTTCCTGTTTATCGGGAGAGGATCTTCTCCTGGAAATGAGAGTAGCAAACTAGAAGGCTTGCAGCAGGTTGAAGATGCCACAAAGAGGAAGAATGGGTGGCAGAAGGTGATGGCGTTGGAAGAAAGATGCTGCGAATTAGGCGTTCATGGATGAGTACATTAAGAATTAGGTGATTCAAAGCTAAAAATCACCCTGATGTAGATGAATATATTGTAAGATTCAGTGAATGCGTACATTGTGGTTTAGTCCATCGGTTTTGCATTGTTAACCATCTCTTCGGCTCTTGCCTCCCACAATCGACAGGAGTTTCGAGTATCAACTTGCAAATTCTTACACGTTCATCCCAGCTAATAATAGTTACAGCAAAAGCCCTTTGGAACTGGTGAAAGTAGTTGTAACAAAATATGATGATGTGGCATTGAACTATGAAATAGAAGCAGTGGCATTTCCGCATAAGGTTTGGCAGAATTATGCCAAGCTATCTAGAAAGGTGCTTAAAGAAGGTTGCAATGTCTGGAAGAAGCCTATCCAGCATTTTTTGTGAACAATTTTGAAAGCACAAATAAAGGTGGTTAAGTTATATCCTTTTGAAATCTGGTAATCAGATTTTGAATAAATGGGTCATATTTATCGGATGATGCACTCTAGGTACACAGTTTTGAATAAACAGATTGCTTTTATCCCATGTATACATAATTTGCCAGTATGATGCCTAATAAATCTGTGCTACCAACACTTCGTATATCTCTCTCTATCTAGGAGGTCTGGCAATCAAATATTGGTTGGTAATCAGAAGATTTCCTGCCAGTCCATCGACAGTTGGCTGATTTCAGGACGATTGCCCCCTATAATCGGCTGCTCCAGCTTGATTTTGGGGTTATAGGAGATATCAAAAGTATTGGGCATTGAGGATTGTGCACGTGACTTCAAAAAATTGAACAGAATCGGAATCTCCATGCTTGGAATTGATGAGTGTTGAAGAGGCCGTTAATAAAGTGCTAATGTAACATACGTAATTTTTTCTTTTTATCGTTTTTGCAGAACTTATGAGATTTCTTTTGGTCTTGCCAATGTACAATAATGTGCCATCGATGCTATTAAAAAGTTTTGTCATGATGCTCCTCGAAAATAGAAAAAAAGTAATAAAATAAAATATAGTTCACTTTCTCCCTGAAGCAGATTAATTGCTGGATTTTTCAAAAAATCCGGACTTTATTCAATGAATATATCTTTAACGTTGTAAAAGATGAATTATAGGGAATGCTGAAGTATGGATAATCGTATGGATTTCTCAAGTGGTTATGACTTCTAAAATTTTCACATGTAGTGAACTTTGATGGATCAGAGTTAGAAATTTTCTTCACCAATTGCGCTTTAATTATTTAAGTTTAATCGCAGCACTTTTATTTTTCTCCTCAAACAATTCCTTCTCAAGGTCATTTTCTCTGTTGATAAGCTTGAAGATGAAAGAGTTAACTATTGTATTAACTGGTGACATCCAATTATAGCCTGTAGACCTTGATTCTATATTTCTCGGATATTTATCATGTAAGTTGTCTTTGCTTTCTGTTTATCCAGTTGAACTGTTTTGATACTCGTATATTAAATTTATCTGAAAATGCAGCTTATCGGCTCATTTTGACACTCTAGGCCTTTCATTCTTCTTTTTCCATTTGTCATCTCTGGTAGTCACTGCTATCTAGAAGTCGCCTTTCTGTCTTCAGTTTTGAGGATTTTTTAAAGGATCCTATAAGGTTTTGTAGTATGTTAGTGTAATGTTAATGATGAAGCATTTATTTATGCACAAGGAAAATGTTAGAGTTACTGTTCGACTTTGATATGCAACCTTTTAAATTTGTAGTTGTACATTTTTTAGTTCAAACAATGACATACTTTTTTGGTCAAAACTTTTAACCACTGGTCCTTTTTTTACTTATCTACATCCTATTAAATCTTTATTGTTGTTGAAACATAAGATTAAAGCTGCGGAGGGTTCTGTCCAATTTTACCCCTTTTATGATCTCACGCAGATGTAGTTTATTTTGACCAAAATAGAGCAGGAATAGGAAACAGGCTGAAGGAAAAAAATTGGTTATATCTCAGGAATAGAAAATTCTTTGATGAAAATTTGGCTGTATCATCTTTAATGTTTGTTGCCTGTTAACAGAGTAAATGCTGTACTCTGTACTAGGCAATGGCTTGTTTGACCAAAAATAAAATTTCAAGAACAGAGAACGGAAACCCTACCGTTCGTCATAAACGTAGGTAGCAAATGAGATTTATGGATGTCTTTTGTCAAATGAAACGACAGGTATTCCCTTCCTTAATCAGGAGGAATGATTTTCTTTACAAGGTTTCTGTTCAGAATGTTTAAATGAACGCGATAGTGAATGGAAAACTAATATTGAACTCCAGTGAAGAGAGGGGTAGAGGGAAACGTGTGTCATCTGGTCAATCAAAAGATATGGTTGATGGAAAATAATGACCAGTGACATTGCTAATTGCCTTGTGTGTTTGAGTCACGTGGGCATTTGGTGCCATGGTACAGCCCATGTCTCTGCACCAGCAATATCTCAGTGCTAAATGACAACCACGGTACATAAACGGTAATTACTGCATGGCCCTGGCACAAAGGATGTGCCTTGACTTGGAAGGCCACGGCCTGTTGTGGAAACAGCATAAAGCAACTTGCATTCTGTTGGTGACAACATAACTTAGAAATCAGTCTTCAAAATCGGAAATAACGTACATTATTGACACGGTCCTTCAATGCCCATGTTTTGCCCTGGATATGGAAAATTGCACGCATTGTGCACGTGATCTCTTTGTGCGCATGCTTGGTTAGTTTACATGTTCCGAAGTTGAATGAGATGATTCGTTCCAGTTACATTATCAAGTTTGTTTGAGTCCTCTCTGCATTAAATGTATGATCATTGAACCTTTCTAAATGTCGTACACCGCAACAAGAGAGTAGTGTCTTATGATTGTCACTAAATGGTGGTTGCAGGTCATTGGAATTAATGGACAATTTCCTGGGCCAATCCTTAATGTGACAACAAACTGGAATGTTGTTGTGAATGTTCACAACAATTTAGATGAGCCATTTCTTGTCACATGGTATGAATGATGGGAATATGCTATTTTGTCAATGTGTTACTAGATGGATTTACAGATCCTAAATGATTCACTGAAAATAATGCAGGAATGGTTTACAGCATAGGAAAAATTCTTGGCAGGATGGCGTTTTGGGAACAAATTGTCCCATCCCTTCTGGTTGGAATTGGACCTATGCGTTTCAGGTCAAGGATCAGATAGGGAGTTTCTTCTATTTCCCTTCAATTAATTTTCAGAGGGCTGCAGGTGGTTATGGAGGTATCATTGTAAATAACAGAGATGTCATTCCATTGCCATTTGGAACTCCAGATGGTGACATTACACTAGTCATTAGTGATTGGTATACGAAGAGTTACAAGGTCAGATTGATTTCTTGAATGAAATCTGAGATTCATGTTGTTTTCGAGAACATTAACTTCCATGGTAACAGGTCCTCAGAAAAGAACTTGAAGAAGGGAAAGAACCTGGAGTACCTGATGGTGTGCTGTTCAATGGTCTGGGTCCCTATCGCTATAATGAGTCGATTGTTCCTGATGGCATTGTTTATGAGACAATAAATGTTGAGCCAGGTAACGTTTATTGATTTATTGGACTAGTGGCATTTTTTTAGAATGTCTTCAGCGTGATATTTTCTAGTTGGTGCATCTATAGTATTTTATTTTGTCCTTGTCTTTTGATTGCACAACGTTTACTAAGATACTTTGATGTTTAAATGCTTACCGTGCTTGTTCACTCTGGTTTGACGGTGTGAATTGTATGTTCGAAGCAGGTAAAACTTATCGTCTTAGGGTCCACAATGTGGGAGTATCTACTAGCCTAAATTTTCGAATCCAAAATCACAATCTGCTTCTTGTAGAGACCGAAGGGTCTTATACTGTTCAGCAGAGCTATACAGACATGGATATACATGTGGGCCAGTCGTACTCATTCTTAGTGACAATGGATCAGAATGCTAGCAGTGATTACTATATTGTGGCAAGCTCTCGATTCATTACTTCAACTTCAGGAAACAGAGTGGCAGGCGTTGCCATTTTGCATTATTTGAATTCGCAGGGTCCAGCATCAGGCCCACTTCCTGATGTTCCAAATGAGGGTGACATGTACCGATCAATGAACCAGGCGAGATCAATCAGGTGCTTTTTCTGATCCTTAGATTTAGATGATGCCATATATGCTAACCGCTCTTCACTTTTTCCTCGTAGACAGATTGTAAATTATTAATTAATTTGTGATTCGTTATTCTCCTTTCATGTTGGTCATTAGGTGGAACGTTTCTGCTGGTGCCGCTCGACCAAATCCCCAGGGATCTTTCCGATATGGTGAAATAACTGTCACACATGTATATGTACTTCTTAACAGACCCGCAGAGCTTATAAATGGAAGGTGGCGTACGACTTTGAATGGTATTTCCTACGTTGCGCCAGCAACACCACTGAAGCTCGCCCAGCAATTTAATATACCAGGAGTTTACAAGCTTGACTTTCCAAACAGAATGATGAACAGACTAGCAAAAGTTGACACATCTTTAATTAACGGTACTTATAAAGGTTTTGTAGAAATCATATTCCAGAACAATGACACCGTTGTTCAAACCTACCACATGGATGGGTATGCATTCTTCGTAGTAGGGTAAGCTCAGATAAATGACGATCTCATTTTATGATTTGGCGGTCCATGGCTGAGGAGACTAAAGCTTCTTCTTTTTTTTATTTTAGGATGGATTACGGAGTGTGGACGGAAAACAGCAGAAGTGTTTATAACAAATGGGATGGAGTTGCTCGCTCCACAGCACAGGTATGCTGAACAAGGCCAAGGATCCGGGTAGATGCAATTTTCTTTTTTCTTCCAGATAACGCATAGTGATTTTCATACCTGAGTGAAATCTTGGATTTCTTCTATGGATGGGAGGTAATTCAACTGAACCATGAAGTTTGGAAATAAATCCTTGCTTACCAAATCATCATTATCACAGGATACCTGTGATGCACAGTTTTTAATTTATTTTTAGCAGAATAGGATACTGAGATGGTCATAGAATATAACAGTATAGCTTGATTTGATTAGAGGTAAGTTCATTCTGATTATCACAAATCGCTGACGAAATTAATGGGTTTTAACTTTGAAATTAAATACAAGGAAGGCAAAGAAAAAAGGCCCCAGATGCTCTCTCAAAATCTCCTCTCCTCGTCGACTTAGGGCTTAATTAAATATCTACTTCTCATTTCCTTGACATCGCCAGTATCAATCAGGAAGTGGAGAGGGACGCCCACTTCAATGCCATCAAGCATGCCCTACTCAAGAACTCAAGACCATTGAGCACCGTCCTTTACATTTCTGTCAACCGATATTTTTCTGCATACGTTTCCACTTTGTTTTTATTTAAAAGTGATGAGAACTTTTTTGGAAACTTGGTCCCATAAAAAAGGAGAAGAAAACGCTGTAATTAATTAACCTGGTTGACACCAGCCCATCACTAATCATCGATACAAACTGTTTCAAACTAGTTACATCACCATATGTGGCCCTGTTTTCAATTGCGATGTGCTTCTAGATTACCCATTTCAAATAACTAGAGTCACTCAATTCCATGCATCTGATGCTCCTTGTTTTTACATGGACGTTGGTAACATAAGGTGAGTATATACCAACGTAGATAATTGCCTAGCTGTGCCTAGCTATAAATAGATAAAAAAGGAAGCAAATCCCAACGGTGATGTGTTGTGTGAAGAATTTCTCGTCCATTCATCAGTTGAAGAGGCTTGAAAGAATTCCTTTTTAAGCTAGACTCCCTGAAAGCTACTTAAAGGCTTATACTCATTTTCACGACTTTCTTGCTGGTTCCGATGTTGAAATTGATTAAACTGGATCAGACCCAGTTAATTTCTCTCTCTGATCAAGCTGATTCTGGCTTGAACAGGAAGCCTAGCGATATAGTTTCTACTAGATGCACATATCATAGCTTGCCGGGAGCATTAAATCCCTGAACTAATCCCCGAATTCAGAGCAAGAACTCTGGTCAACTTTCAAACCTCTTCAACTGATGAATGGACGAGAAATTCTTTGCATATCACCCTTTGGCTTTGCTTCCTTTTCATCACGTGGCAACTCTAATTAAATTCAGAATTTCCCCATTTTTCTACAAATGGTGTTTATACCCGGAACTTGCTATTCGTTATTTATTTTGAGTCTCCTGGCACATTGATTCCTAGGTTTATCCTGGAGCCTGGACTGCTATTCTCGTCTACCTTGACAATGCTGGCATCTGGAACCTGAGAACAGAAAATCTGAACTCATGGTATCTGGGCCAAGAACTGTATGTGAGCGTTGTGAATCCTGAGGTGACCAACAACACAGAGGTTTCCATTCCTGAGAACGTCATCTATTGCGGCGAGCTCTCGAGCTTACAACGGTCAGATACAAGACTTTGCTTCCTTTTTTTCTCCATCTATACCTTATTTTAGAATTATTATTTTTATATGAATAGTCCTGAGTGTTATAGAACTAATCATAAATGTGCTCTTAGGCCAAACCTAACCAATATATATATATATATATATATATATATGTATATATCATCCACATAATAGAACTTAAACTCGGTATGAAATTTCTTCAATGGCTTTGTTCGCTGAAATTTCCTTGTTTTTTTCTTTTCAGACAGCAGTCCAGCAGATTTAGTTATTCTGATGCTTCCATTGCCAACAAGAGCAGGATGGTTTTGCTCGGGCTTGTTGCTTGGGTTTGGCTTCTTCTTTCCTGGTGAGTTCTGTGTTAATTTCTCTGAAAAGGCGTTTGATCTTTTGGAATTCATTCTTCCGAGTTGTCCGCTTCCCAGAATTGAGGTCTGTAGGAACCATTCTGGAATTAAAATGCATTCCTCTCTCTCTCTCCTCTCTCTCTTTATGTCTCTGTCTCTCCCTCTTTGAGCATCACCTCGCTGTATTGCCTTTGACTTTTTGTGCTCTCTAAAAATTCATTATTTACAGGTAGCTGGTGAAATAAAAGCTAACTGCGGAGGCAGAATTGGGCCCATAACAGCCGATCATTCGGGCATCGGTAGAGAAAACACAAGTGGGTATTGGGCCCATTAACCCTGCGGAGGCTATCAATTACCTGACTGGGGCCCATAAAAGAGGATCAAAGGCCCATTTACATCTCTACGATGTAAAAGCCCAATAATGGCGCTCAGGCTTATTGGGCCCCATGATCACTCTCCTGACAACGGCCGAGATAAGGGGAATAACTAACCGCGGAAGAAGAGACAATTGCGGGGCCCACATCAGACCACCGAATCTAGCTCCCTTACCTCAATTATTGCCCCCCCCCCCTCTGTCTCCCTCTCTCTCTCTCTCTCTCTCTCTCCACTTTCTCTCTCACTCCCTCCTGTTTCCTGCTGGCGTGCGCCTGTCTCTCTCTCACTCACCATAGCTCATTTTCTCTCTCTTCTTCTTCAGCCGCTTTCCGGGTATAAAGGGGCAAGCGTATCATCTCTATCCTGCCGTCAGAACGTCGGCTGCCCAGAGACAGAGAGAGAGAGAGCGAGAGAGAGAGAGGAAGGATGGTTCTCCGGAGAGGGAGATGGAGTACAGCGGCATCGATTGTGGTGGCGCTCGTCGTCGTGGCGTCGTCGGTCGCGGAGCCGCCGGCGCCGGAGAGGGAGATGCAGGAGGCGCTGAGGGCGCAGGGGCTGCCGATCGGGCTGCTGCCGCGCGGGGTCAGGGGCTTCAAGATCGACGGGGAGGGGCGGTTCGAGGCGTTGCTGGCGAGCGCCTGCAACGCTCAATTCGAGAACGAGGTCCACTACGACGCCAACGTCACCGGAACCCTAAGCTACGGCCGGATCGCCTCCGTCTCCGGGATCTCCGCTCAGGAGCTCTTCCTCTGGTTTCCCGTCAAGGGTATCCACGTCGACTTGCCCAGCTCCGGCATCGTCTACTTCGACGTCGGCGTCGTCTTCAAGCGGTTTTCGCTCTCCCTCTTCCAGACCCCGCCGGAATGCAGAGCTAACCCTCCGGAGGCTGGGGGGACGCCGGCGGCTGCCGTCGACGGGGTCCATCCCTCTCTCCTCCTCTCCGGAGTCCCTCCGGGCCATCCCCGTTCGCGCCTGCAGATTTGATCACCTCCGCCAGCCAATTTCGTTCTCTATTTCGAATGACCTCTTCATTTGGGGAAATCGGAACCAGCCGGCCGCAGAGGTCTCGGGGAGAAAAGCCATCAACTCATCTCCGTCTGCACCGCCCACGATTCCTCCGTATGAATGAATAATTTGCAGAGCAGCCCCGTCAATCTCCGGCGTGAACTCAGCAAAGAAGATAAACCCCGGGGACAGGAACCCTGTAACAATTTCTCGACAGCCATGGCCACTCCTCCCCTCCCTCCACCACCTTCACCACACACGCACCCTCCTCCCCATTAAGACCTTCTGACTGATACCTCATGCTCGACGGGCCCTTCTCGAGGAGAATCCTAAGTTAGCGAGGAAGACAGCCCACAGACGAAAATGGGGGAATTGGAGGGTTGAGTTGGCGGGCCCTGTTGTTGTCTTGACTCACTGTTTCACGTGAAATGGGCTAAGAGGGTTTTAGGATTTCTGTCTCTCTCTGCTGGGTTGCTTAACAGCTGGCTCCTGCTGTGCTGGGTGTGTCCTCTTTGTATCTGCTGGGTATACTCTTGTCTCTAAAATGTTCTTGCCACTGTTAAATCTGGGGTCGGTAATTAATAAATTTATGGTTTTGTTCACGTGAAGAAAAACGTCCTTTAACTTTGAGCGTGGGTTTCTTTCTCTAAATGGTCATCTTGTTTTCTATTAATAGGATTAATTTGTTTGAGGTAAATATTTGATTTGGGTTTTCGGATCAGTTCCATTATAAATTAAAAAAATAAAAAGAAACCCTGGAGCTTTCAAAGCTTGGGGATTAATATTGTGCTAATTTTAACTGAGATAAATGTTCAAAAGATTTGCTTTTTTCCCATTTTTTAGACCTAAAACTTGAAAGATCCTTGCTTTATAAAATGGTCCCCATCTTTTCTGATCTTTCAAAGTAGATTCCACAAAGTTTCACTATTGAGGTTTAAGTTTCATGATTAACTTTATTTTTGAGAAGGCGAATATTAATGGAATACTACTTTTACTTGGTTATATTCCATTCACTTTCCAAGAGACAAAAATGCCCCCTAGTTAAATATTTATTACTTTTCATGACAATCTCTTAAGTAGTCTATAAACCCAATAAACTATATGAAGTTGGCTAAGTGCAGAACAAAAATGAAGGAATAGGGAAAGGGTGTGCATTTTTATATTAGGCTAGTGATAATGTTTGCATAAATAAACATGATACTATTACTTGGAACCCAACATTATAAAAATCACATAACAAGTTAGGATATAATATATGGAACTCGGCACACCTTGTCTAAGGAGGTGTATGAAAGAGGAAAAACATGGAAAAAAAAAAGTACTATATTCAAAAATAGATCTAGAAGGAAAAAATGTACTACTTATGGATGAGTTATTGGGCATTTATGAGTAGCTCAAACAGCTGCAAATAATTTATTCCTAATCCTTTCATGCTAAGAAAAATAGGAGATTAGGTTCATGTAAAATGATTCACTTTATCATTTAGATCTCCACCCAAATGCACAAATTTTCTCATATTTTGGGAATCATTTATGACAAGAAACCTATGTCAAACCTTCATGTTCCAGGCTATGCCTACATCAAGGAAGTGCCGAATTGAAGTTTTTCAGGTTTTATTTTTCCTTACTCTATATGGGATCAAAGTAGCAAGAGAATGCTATGAATAGCTAGTGTTTGGTAGTCTTAGGTTGTTTATAGGGCTGTCACTTTAGAAATGATGATTAGAATATTATTGGCCTAATAAGTTAGCTTCCTAATAAAAATGATGAGTTAGTGCCTTGCTCTTTAGTGAATGAGTGTTCTTTGGAGGAGCTCCTAAAGCCTATGAATAAGCTTCTATAAGATTGTAACTTGAATTGAGTCCATGTGTTTTATTGGCTTACCCCCTTCTCATCTTTATTACTCTTGTTACCAACTGAAGACCAACAAGAAGGAATTTCTATCTCAAGTGTTTTGACACAACCAAATGTTAATCCTTTTTCCTCTAGTTTTTCAAGTATCGTCTCTCCTTTAGAGTGGGCACAAAATTTCTCTCCTTTTCTATAATTCAAATGAGAATATGTGATAGTAAAGATGAAAATGATTTTATGAAGAACTATTCCTACAATACAAGAACACAAGAAGCTTGTAAATATCTCAAATTAAATATTATTAAAACTAATATTAATTTATGACTACATATTTGAAAAATTATTTAATTAAGCAACTTTTGTGAGATATTTAAAATATATATCCATTTTTTAATATATATATATATATATATATATATGTTGAATAATAAATTATTGACACATTCTCACCCCTTTCTCCCTATGATTCAAGCATTTCTTTCTTCTCCATCATCTAAATATATCCATGTCAATGGCTTGATTTCTGGCAAGTTGTTTAGGCATAGTTGAGGCCATCAATCGCTCATCATCATTCTTCTCCTAGCATTGGGAGGCCATAGATTGAAAATTTCCATGGAATCATAATGAATTTCTCTCCTCAAGTATGAATCTCATTAGTGAGCTTAAACCACAAACTCACCAAATTCTTAACATTCACTATTTTTTTAATCAAAATATGTTGCAACCATTTGTTTCCAACAAAGAATGGTACATCTATTGGAAAGTCTTTTACCCAACCCATTTAGGTCTTCAGTTTGCTCTGTACTTGGGATGAGTTTTTATGGTTATGTAAACACCACTAAGATGTAGATACAATATTGATAATACATATAATGTCTTATCATTTAATAAACTAATTTGATCAATGTGGACTTCAATCAATGAACTTAACATTAACTAATATATTTTGATTGACCCTACCTAGTGTGGGTAGGGAATGATCAATGTTCCATTACCCTCTCTAATGGTATAGATGACATGAAGGGACTAATTTTTCTAGACTCAATCTTATTATTCTTATTTTTTAAAATAAATTTGTACCCAACAAAACTTATAACCCAATGTTATTGAATGCATATATAAGAATAAACCAATTTTAGGAAATATTGAGCATTAGGTTTAGGTTCCCTAGGTGGACATCTCTTGTAAGACAAAGGCATAAACAATTGATGCCCATTGATCCCTTGTTAGCAAAGTAGTTCTATATAATTTGATAATATTATGGCGCTAAACTACAAAACGATAATATCTCCATCGAAATATCAGCCATAAAAAATAAGGAAAAATCAAGTAAAATCAGTAGCCATAGACATAGCTCCGAGCATCTTCCCTATAAGAATATTCTTTGACATTGACCAAATATCAGACACTATCAGAAAGTGGGCTCCACCTTTTTGACCCATATAGACCCTACGCGCCCTATGAAATTTTAGATAAATATAGATAATATTTGATCCATGGTGTGGGGTGGGTGGCTACAACATCTTCCAACATCTTCCAACATCCTCCAACATCTTCCAACATCTTCTTAGTTCTTTTCCACGCTTGTCTAGGGGGGCCCGAAAGGCCGCCTTTTTCTGTGGAGGAAGTTATCGGGGCGTCAGTGAGCACACATATTCTCGAATTGCGCAAAAGTCCTTGGCCTTCCCGGCGGCCATCCCTCCCACCCGTCGCCCTCTGGGGGCTAATCTCGTCTGTGTGACAAAGCAGCCACTCTGCGGGCGGGTATTCCTACCGTTCCTCTTTCCTCGGGATCCTCTCTCAGAAACTGAAAGAAGCAGAAAGGCAGTCGCATCCCGCCTCTCCTCCTCTTCCCTCTGCGAAGGGGTGATGGCGCTGCAGATGCAGATCTCGGTGCCGTCCTTGCCCTCGTCATCAACCCTGCGATCCCGGGCCCTGGGCGGGGCTGCTGCGTTCTCGCAGGCTGATGGGTCGAGCAGAGGGACGGGAACCGGCTGGTCGAAGGCGGTCTCGACTGCTCCACCAGCGGCTTATTCTGGTTACCGGGGCCGTCGGACATTGAGTATTCGGCCGGTGCGGTCGTCGCTGGATATCGCGGCGCCGACGGTGGGGACGGTCACGGAGGTGGACAAGGACACATTCTGGCCGCTCGTCAAGGCCGCCGGCGACAAGCTTGTCGTTCTCGACATGTACACTCAGTGGTATGGTAGCTTAACTCTCCCATCAGCTTTGGAGCCTTTTAAACCCTGCTCTTCCTCTTCCCCCCTTCTTTCTACTCAGCGGCGTGGAGATATGATACCATCTAGTGAGAGAGAGAGAGAGAGAGAGAGTCAGAGAAATCTGAAAGATGAAAATGCAGTTGCTCTGAATTGGTTTGTAAGGAATTTACACAGTAGTTTTGTAAGATGGGGCTGGAGATAGCACAAATTCTTTTTAGATTCACGCGACGTAAGAAGACGGACATTCATCCGCTTGAGGCTCTTGGCCTTCGTAAAAAGAAGAACGAAACAGAACGTGCACAACCGAAATCCCCAAGCTCATTACCGAGTGTAACATGTGTAATCTCACCATACTTATTCAATGATAATAGCTACTCTATCTCACAGAAAAAATTATTTACTAATTAAATATTTTATTTACTGGGTTATCTTTGATAGCTTGAGCATCAATGGAGTCATCAGTACTATCGGAGTCAATCAGTGTGGTAGCAGACCGACGCATCATGATCATTCTGATCTCTCTTATCAACATGCCTATGCTGGTAGTTGTCATTCAGAGATACCACCTCCTCAGAATTCCTTTGATTCAATCATGAAGACTGGTCTCGAGCCCTGGAGCTGCTCCATTAGATATGCTTTGGCTTATCACTGGTTTTGGCCTCAAGCTTCCCAGAAAGGGTAGAATGATGGAGCCCCACCTGTTCCAGAGAAGCATGAAATACAGAAGATAAAGATGGGGTATGAGAGAAAGAGAAAAACTTTACTCGAAGTAATCAAGTCTCTGCAGCAATTTATTTATGCATGAGGACAAACAAGAAATTCTGCTTCACTCATAGTGAGAATTCTTAGAAGATCCACAGAGAAGGACATGGAACACTGAAGAATACCGTGATCTTAACTCTGTTTTTTCGTTGAGTTTAGCTATCAATGATCTAAACATGTGCATGATGGGCCTCAGGATTCCCGATTACCTGGGTTTCATTATATCTAAACCAATTCAGTGGCAATAAAGTTCATGCGATTAATTTCTGAGATTTTGGGAGAAACTCCGGTCTAGTGGCAGAATTGATGATTCTATGGGACATGGGCTTTCCTTTCTTTGTACTACGGTTTGTTTTAAATTTTGTGGAAAGATCATAGCATGCAGGAGAGATTATTAACCCGTGTTAGAATGTTCTTGGGTGCTTATAGTCATTATCTCTGATAATTTCGTACGTTTTTTCTTCCGTTTCTTTCTTATTCCGTCTGTGTGCGCATGCTTTTATTTTATAAGCTTATCCTATTTCCATCTAATTACTGTCTATTCTGGTATTTGAGAAGAAAATTGCTATGCTGAGCCGAGAAAGAGTAATATGGGAGGAAGTAGTGTGAGCAAGCTCATTGATCATGAGGGGGCTGCTAAAGTTGGCATCTCCTTGAAGAACGTTAAATTTCAGATGACTAGAAAAAGTAAAATAAAGTAGAGACCACCGAGAGGGGAAAGAATCTCAATAATTTTTCTCAGTCTCGTACCTGTCCTCAATATATATATATATATATATATATATATATATATATATATATATTTTCATATTAGTGTATAAATCATATCTAAAGCCCATTTACATATCTCAAGAATCTGCTTTGTTTTTCTACCAATGCCTCTCCGTTAATCCCTGCATTTCTAATGGATCCTTGAAGGTGTGGCCCATGCAAGTTGATAGCTCCCAAATATCAAGGCCTTTCTGAGAAGCACCTTGACGTTATGTTCCTCAAGCTCGACTGCAACAAAGAGAACAGGGTCAGTTAGTTGGGTCATCCCCACACATATTCCTTCATGTCTATATATATTGGAATAATTGGGCCATCCCACTATGTACTGAATGAAAAAAATAGCAAAAGTTGGCCCATCCACACAGATTTATTTCTATAATAAGGAATATGGGGCTATTATTGTCTTTTGATTTTTTTTTTGTTTCCTCATTGGCAGCCATTGGCAAAGGAGCTGGGTATAAGGGTCGTCCCTACCTTCAAGATCCTAAAGGATGGTCAAGTTGTGAAGGAGGTCACTGGGGCCAAACTCGATGACTTGGTTCTTGCCATTGAGACTGCAAGGTCAAGTTGAGTGCCCCCTCTCTCATCCAACTCCCCAAATTTAAAGTTGGGAAAATGGCCTTGATCTAAGTTTGTAATAATGTCATATGTTCTTACTCTTGATGTCAACTTTCAACTTTCAAAAAATTATCAAAATTTGTAATAATTCAGATTTTGGGCGTGTTGGGATGTTGCTTGTGGGTTTTTGTTTTTCCTGGGATGATAAAAAGATTTAGTTATGAAGGAGAGAGAGAGAGAGAGAGAGAGAGAGAGAGAGAGAGAGGATTTTGGGGCAATTATGATAAAAAGGGTTTTCGGCTTTTAGATAAGATATAATTTGTGAACTTGACTTGGCTTTTAGGTAAGATATAACTCATGTTTGGGTGAAGCCCTTGATTATCACATAGTCAAATACTTGGAAAGAAATTGTAAAGCTAAAAAAGTAGCACATATACACATTGGTCACATACTCAAGGTTTATAACCAAACATAGAAGAATTTTAATTGTGTTCATCTATATTAAAAAAATCTATTTTATGTTAGCATGATTGGTTTAATCAAGTTTTCACTAAATTAGAGTCAATTTTAATGTAATTATCAAATAGTAATTTTGTGTTAAAAATATTATTTATTTCAGATAAAAGCTATAGTTTTAACTTTGGATGAGCGGATCACAAACATGATTCAATTTTTAAAAACTTTGGACCTAAAAATTGAAATTTAATTCCAATAGCTGTTAACAATATATAATAAAAATGTATCAACATTATACTACAAGTTTATTATTATAACTTTTAATTAATCATTGTGGCATTCACATTGAAATCATAATTCTGTAACTAGTTTTTTTCGTAAAATTACCTTAACTTCATGTGCATCTTTAAAGTAAAATATGTTTATATATATAAAGTTGCTATGTGAGAATTTGAGGAGTGTGCTATGGGGTGGTTGAGTGGAGGGAGATGGTGAGGCGTGTCAAGGTGAGTAGGGAGGCTGCTTACAGCATCTAGTTGGACCCCCCAAAGACTGGGCCCTGCCCATCTGATCCTGGTCTTCAGTTTACGTTAAAGATTGAATCTTTTTTCCCAGATCATTATCCGACCGTTGAGAGCCCTAATGGCGGCGAGCAGCGCCTTCAGTAGACATAAGAGTTCCCCCTCGCAGCCACTTCTCTATCTTCACAGCCTTAAGCACGAGGCCTCCTTCCGCTGCTGTTGTTGCTGCTTCCGTCAGTCGGCAGGCGGAGCCAGGGCTTCTTCTGTCGCCATCACGCTCCCTTTGCCCCTTGAAGCAAACGTGGAAGGGGTTGCAGGCAGCTGACCGACCGCTTTGTGGCCCTTCCGGCGGAGTACCGACCTGCCGTTGGTGTATTGGCTCCTATCCTTCCGTGCAGTCGGCATCGTTCCTCCACCCTACGGGTCTGTCTCTTTTTCTGGATACCCGCAAACTAAAGTGAAAATTGTGATGAATCCGTCAGTCGTCCATTCATCTATAATCCTATTCTCAGTGCCATTTTTTTCATATTTTCGCCAGTATGGTAAAGCCATCCACTAGCGCCACATACCTAGAATTATCTGCCGAAGCTGAATTGCCTGGCTGTTGTATCGGTTCCATTTCGCTTGTTGTATTGGTAACCGAAGAATGGAAAATAGAGCAAGCATTCTTTCCAGTTGCCATTCGCTGCATCTCTGCATCCAACAAAACTTAAGCAGCCTTTACACTCAAAGGAAAAGGCTCATAAAAAGGCAAATCAAGCTGACTAGCCAATCCTTCTTGGAACTCAAATTTTCTTTATTCAGCATCCACATTGTTATAGATTTTCTTCATGGAATCAATAATTATAGTGAGCGTTGATCTTTCAGGACATGATTTTCTTACCACGTTAAAAGAAAATGGTAGATTGTGGGGATATTAGAGTCTGCACACTTCCTTAGCCCTGAATTTGAATGTTGTGACACCTAAATCTGTGAACTCGCGTGCTTCGGTTTTTCATGAGATTTTATGTTATGCTGCTCTTTTATAGGTGAATGACAGACGAAATACCAGACATTGTCTTTCTCTGGTACGATGGCTGTATCTCTAGGCAGTTTTCTCCTTTGCAAAGGTCTAAAGTAGAACCATTCACAACCAAAATTCTTGAAAACGTAAATTGTTATTCTATTTAACCAACTAACTAATACTCCTTGGCACTTGCTTCCATATATCATTTGGGTCTTCTCATCTGTTTTCTAGGAATGAATCTAATTATTGATAAACGTCGATTGCTGTACCAATTAACCTCGATTGGCCTTTTTTGTTGCCAAAGAATGATATACAAGGTAGTCTAAAGAGGGATTTACTTGGATCTTTTCTCTGGTCGTAAGAGTTTTACTACTAAGTGGGAATTGGGTAACCTACTCGAAAATTAAGGAAAAACATGGAATGGACTCTTTCGCTAATGAAAGAAAATAAACTAATTCATATGAGTAACTTTCAGGTTATATTGATGATGTTGAGGCTTCCTTGCCATCAATTAGAAAAGAAAATACTCCATCCTTTTTTATATTTTCATTTATGAACAATTCAATAATATGCCATTCTTATTTATGCTAATCCAAGTTGATTAAAAACATCTAATGTGTTAATGACACCTTTTTCTCTTTTCAAGTAAAAATGGAAGACACGCTCATCAGCTAATGTTGTCCTCAAGGTTGAAGTGAAGTTTTTTGAGATTTTTTATGTGGGCTAATGTAGTCTCCGGTAAGTATGATGGTGACTTGCATGTTTACGTAGCTAAGGCTGCATTGGTTATACAACAAGATACTTTTCAGGGTAATGATGAGCATCATGCATAGTTTCATTGATTTGTACATTTATTGTTGCTACATGTCACATAAAAGCATTCCTGTTGGCAGAGAAGTTTCCTTCCTTTGCCTTTGTTGAAGGCTACATGTATTAGAAAGATACTTATTATTACTGCCACAGGAAAGTTGTATAGGAGAAGATGTGCACGTTTTTGTGATTTTCTTGAATGTTTCTTAACTTTCTTCCCTGGTTTAGTATTCGAAAGAATTTCCAGATTGATAAGTAAACTGTTATTCAATTAAGGACATTGGATTTTTTATTTTTTCGTTTTCCCTCAGAAGATTTTGGAGTGGACCCTTCTGCTTATGGAATAATGTTGTTCATTTTAGTAGCTGTTTACGCTTTCAGGTACTCTATGTAACTGTCATCTGTTTAGTGCCAACGTTTGAAACTGTCATCTGTTTAGTGCCAACGTTTGAAAAATAAAGCCAAGAAGTCTCTTCTGGCCATGATTCTCAACTTCTGCTGCTGGGAGCGTGGTTTGCAACGGTAACAATATTTTTTGTTATGACAAGATTCAATCAGATCCTCCCCGTATTTCACCTTGCGTTGAAGGAACTCAGAAGAAAGAATGCTGCTAGCCATAATCCTTTAAGGCCCATATATGGTCAGTATGTATACTTCTTAATCTGATATATTATGAAGCAGCTCACATTGATTATATTCGCCGTTCGTGAGTTTTCATTATGGTTGATGAAGACCCCCTAACCCCTTGCTTTTTCTTCCACAGCGGTTCAATCATCTCTTCTCCATTCATCTCCTGATAACACGGTAGTTGAGGTGCATAGTGAAGTGCAAGAAGTGGTGATTGCCCTGGGAAGCAATGTGGGCGACAGGCTGAAGCATTTCAATGATGCCTTGCATATGATGAGAAAATCTGGCATTTGCATCACAAGACATGGCTGTTTATATGAGACAAAGGCTGCATATGTAACCGATCAGCCGAATTTTCTAAATTCGGCTGTCAGGGGCCTCACAAAGCTTGCTCCTCATGATTTACTAGCTCTGCTCAAGCAAATAGAGAAGGACTTGGGCCGAAAGGACGGAATAAGGTATGGCCCACGACCGATAGATCTTGATATCTTGTTCTATGGAAGGGTAAAGATTGCTTCAGAGGCTCTGACAGTTCCACACGAGCGCATGTGGGAGAGGCCCTTTGTGGTCGCTCCCCTGATCGATCTATTGGGATCTTCTGTGGATAATGATACTGTTGCCACGTGGCATTCCCTTTCAGGGTGTGACGGTGGGCTGTTTGAGGCTTGGAAGAGGCTTGGAGGTGAATCCTTGGTTGGTTGTGAGGGGCTGAGGAGGGTTCTGCCCATTGGAAGCTGCTTGTTGGACTGGTCGAAGAAGACTCATCTCATGGGTGTTGTCAATCTCACTCCCGATAGCTTCAGCGATGGAGGAAAGCTCAGTTCTGTGGATGATGCCATCTCACAAATCAGACTGCTATTATCACAAGGGGCCGATATCATTGATATTGGTGCTCAGTCTACCCGCCCGCTGGCCCACAGGGTTTCCGTCAGTGAAGAACTAGACAGATTACTACCTGTCTTGGAGGCGATTCCAAGGATCCCTGAGCTGGAGGGGAAGTTTCTCTCTGTGGATACCTTCTACTCAGAAGTTGCTTCAGAGGCGGTGAAGAGAGGAGTTCACATCATCAATGATGTATCTGCTGGGCAGATCGACTCCAACATGTTCCAAGTAGTTGCGGGCCTTGAAGTGCCATATGTTGTGATGCACATGAGAGGAGACCCCTCAACGATGCAGGACGGAGAGAACACAAGCTATGGGGATGTCTGCAGGGACGTGGCTTGTGAGCTGGGTGCCCGTATAAGTGAAGCAGAGCTCTCGGGAATCCCTGCATGGAGGATGATTGCTGACCCGGGGATTGGGTTCTCAAAGAGAACCAGCCAGAACCTGGAGATCCTCATGGGCTTGCCGAGGATCCGTGAGGAGTTCGGCTCAAGAAGCCTTGCTGCCTCGCATGCTCCACTCCTGGTGGGTCCATCGAGGAAGAGATTCCTTGGTGAGATCTGTGGCAACAGTAGTCCAATAGAGAGAGATCCGGCAACAGTGGCTGCTGTCACGGCTGGAATCCTTGGCGGTGCGAACATTGTGAGAGCCCATAATGTTAGGTACTGCTCGGATGCGGCGAAGCTCTGTGATGCAATGTTGAAGAAGGGCGGAGGTTTGCTTGGCTGATTATCTGAATGCATATATACATTCTCATAGTCTTTGTAGATTTTGGCCGTCTTTATGATAACAGGGGAAGGAAAATAATCATTGTCGTTGGTGGAAATTGAGGTGTTTTTTGGCCCTTTATTCAGTCATGTCCTACTTGAGGAGATTGACTGCAGAGTAGTCTCTTGCTCCTTATTGAAACTTCCGGTTTTATACCTTTTCAATCACACTAATATTTATTAAAAAAAGATCAACGTGGCTTCTATATGGTTTTAGATCACTCTTCAAATAAATGATTCAGGTGGGTAAGGTGGACCTTTTCAAAGGCCATGAGGCTGTCGAATAACTTGTAATGAAAGATGTTAAGGATCGAAGCTTTTCTAGATGATATGATATATCCAATGTTAGCTATTTCCTGGGTTCAATAAAATATATTAGCTCAAACAAAAAAATTGACACATTATGGCATTGTGCTCATCCAAGTCAATCTCACTTAGAAGCTAGCAAGTTCAATGGGCCATATTTCATTGCTTGAACTTGCTCAATAACGTTCCCCATAGCAACTCCCTCCCTCCCTCTCTCTCTACATTCTTGCAGCAATAGCACTGTTTGTTGTTCAACGTTTTAAAGGTATGTTTGACTTTGATGCCTTCCAACAAAATCACCAGTGACTTCTACAAGTTCAAATAAATAAATAAATAAGTGTCACATAATAGGACTGCGGAATTACTAGTTAATTACGTGAATGCTGGTCCAAAATATAGGATGGTAACTTGTATTCTCAATCCTAGATATATAATCCAATTGCCATTGGGCTCCCATCATTGTGCTCTTTCATACATTATTTATGAGTTTGGAAAAAAGATATCCAACAACGGATCGATCATATTTTATATGGTGAAAACCTTCCAGACTTGAGTTTCATTCACATCTATAATGGTAGTAAGAAATTGATATGAACGAGCAATCCATGGAATCGATTGATTAGCAAAGAAGCAGCACTAGACAGGGGTTTTACACAAGTAACCAAAAAGACATACATATTAAATATAAACCCAACACATTTAGTTGCCTTAGTAATGGATGAACACTATCGTGTGTTCATGTGTGTGTGTGTGTGTGTGTGTGTGTGTGTGTGTGTGTGTGTGTGAGAGAGAGAGAGAGAGAGAGAGAGAGAGAGAGAGAGAGAGGGCACAATCCAAAATAATATTTGGATTGTGCCCCTCGCCATAATCAATTGAGGCTTTGAGTCCATGATTTTATACTTGATTCCTTGAATTTTATTTTAAATATTATAAATTCTAATTTTGAAGTTCCCATTATACTTACATTCATTCATGTTATAAAAACTAGGGTCATTATACATCCACTAACAAAAAAGCTACCTTATAGGCTATAAATGTTGAGATGAGAAAAAATAAAATAGAAAATGTATGATCTGATCTTTGATCTTAAGGCAAAATGTCTATTTTTACACAAGAATGGAGAGATATGAAAATTGTGCCAAAAACTGCATGCAAAATATAGATGTGTTTTATAGAAGCATTTACCATACGGTAGTAATTATCAGCCCTTGTTAACAATTTCTAATGGTATCTTTGACAAAAAACAGTAAACTTAAAGAACTAAAGTGCCTAGCCACTGAAGATAAAACATGTTGCAATGGCTAGTAGAAAACTTCACTCTATTAAAAGTAGGATAAAGGTGTTTAAATGCTTGACTTACTCCAAATTTCAAGCACTATGAGTGATTATGTCAACCTTTCAGAAGTCCTCCCTTTCAAGCTTTACTTTGATGCTCTGAAACTTCTTGACATTTGGTTAGGTTGAGGTTAGACTATAATGTTAGATTTAACCTGTAATATATAATGGAAGATATTGCTGCAGGCCTCCTCTAGAGGTTGAGGTTGACTTTGAGGTTCATCTTTGGAAGATTGAATATTGGAGTAAATGATTTTCTTGAGTTTTAGCAACCTCTTCACTTTTCATTGATTTTCACTAATTTTTAAATGTGGGCACTACACTCGAGAGATCATTTTCTGTTAAGAAGATATGTGTATATTAATTACTTTATCCATTCAAAACATTGGAATATATAAATGAATCATTTGGAGAAAATTTCTCATATCTCTAACATCTTCTACATCATTTTTGTTGGAAAAAGCATAAATTTGAATAGGTGGAAATTTGATATGATATGCCTGTTAAGTTCTTTCGAATATCCTTGCGTGAAACCATTACTCCATGTCATTAAATCATAACATTCATATTCGTTTCATTATGGTTGAAAATGCTTCAATGAGAATTTGATAAACTAACTACAAAATTGATGACACATTAGTCATATATGTACCAACATAAAAGATGATTTGAGACACATATTCAACTGATATTCTTGATCCCAAATTATCTAAGTACTTGACATCTCATACATGTGTATTCCATACATTTAAATCATTACATCCAATCAAAAGGTATAAACTGTAATTTGAATTTGAAACATTTGCGCTAAAAATAAAAATGATTCTAAGTGGATGTCTTACAACTATCATCAATTTAAAATCATGAACATTAAAATAATATTTATGTAGTTTCATTTGGTCTATTAAAGATTGATAAATATATTTCTAAATATTCGTAATCATTGCTTTTTACAAGTTGCTCCAATTAGTCACTTTAAGTCATTCCTTGCTAGCAATCATCAATATCATAAAATTCTATAATCATTAAATCTATAATTACATATTTTTGTGATAATCATCAAAACATATTTGACTCCTAAAGCCAACAGGTGCAACTCAAACAAATGGAGCCCATGCAAAGCTTTTAGAGCCTGTGAAGAAGTAGCTTCTCATATTTAAACCATTTATGTAAGAAAGCATTCTTGAATCCCCTTTTATCTTACCCTCTTATAGGTAAAATTCCTCAACTTGGTAAAAAAATATTGTGCCCTTGATGGATAGAACAACTTCATTTTCAGTTTTTTCCTTTTCCTATTTTGATAAGTTGGTAGATAGAGAATTGAAAAGGTTGACTCTTAAAAGTGAAGGACTGACTAATTCATTTTATTCTGGTATCTCAGTTGAGATCCCTATATTTACAATGGTCAACATTATTTTGTTTTTATTTCTTCCACTCAACATAATTGATAAAACATTTCACATTGTGTCAATGCTCGATTTGTAGGGTTGACCTTATTTTTTGGTGTGAGACATACTTACATGCCAACCTGGTATAAATAATTCTACATTTATGCTTTACAAATAGTTACACCTTTGATCTTGGATCAATTTCTGATACTATTTTCCTTTCTTTAGTGGTGTTGTCTTCAATGCTAGAGCTATTAATACTTGCTTCTCTAACTTTAAATAATTTTAAATTATATGTATGTTATATGTTAAAATAAAAAAGGCATATTAAAAAAGTATTATTAGCATGTTAAAAAAAATTAGTATCGCTTAAAACGAAAAGATGTCAATTTTTTATAGAAGTTTGCACAAAAACTTTTTGAGCTCAGTTGAACATTAGGTCTTACCGACGAATTATTTGTGAAGCACTAGTCAAATAAAGATTTCCTATGTTGGAGGAAATTTTTGTGGGAATCAATGATGAGTCTTGAATTCTATCAAGAATTTTATCTTCTAGATTAGTATGTCTCGTTGTATTGCAAGAAGATTCCAAAGAAGAGGAATTCTAATGATTTCATTTTAGTAACTAACATTTCCATTTTTGTTAAAAATTGAATATATGTCACGAATATAATTTTTTCAGATGAATGAAAAGTGAATAAATGAATCTTGTTACCGTTTTTGAGAAAATTTTCTACAAGCTTGAGATTCCTTTGGAAAACTTGTGCTGAAATAGTATTAAGGTTGGCATCATGGAAAAATTCAATTCCACTACACTAAAAAATTATTAGACAATATTATCTAAGGTTGGCATCATGTTGGCACAATAATATATGTGGAAAATAATGATCCCCTAAATGCAGTAAATGCAAGGTTAATCAAAACATGAATTTGCACTTAATATACTTAGCACAAGTAATGTCAATTCAAGCATGCAAAATTGAATAATATGCCATAAACTTTCAAGGTTAAAACCTCCTTTTTCTATAGGATAATGGATCCCATGGCATAAAACCTAATGTTCGATATAATCACATTAAGCAAACACTCAAGATATGTGCAATTGACTTCATTATTGGAAGTCATTATTAAGTATATTTTTTATGATTCTAAAATGATAGTGAGTGAACTAAATTTAATCTAGTAGTGGCTTCAGTTTCCAAGATTTAAGCTTCATTGAAATTTAAGCTAAGTTCATTTATATATTTAAATAACACTCCTTTTCTATTGTCACATTTCATGATAGAAGAGTTAATTGACTATACAAGGAATGTTTTCTTTTGTCATTTTTTATGACAGAAGAGCTACTTGATCTTACAAGGAATGTTTTCCATTGTCATGTTTGGCCACTACAAGAAATGTCTATGTATTTTTCATTTAAAAAGAATTTTTAGAACTCTTATAGTGGTCAAGAATTATGGATTATGGATAAATGTTCTATTCTTTTGCATAATTTTTTATTCTATAGAGAAAATAAAAATATCAATCCAAATGTGGACAAAAATCCATAACATTTCAAAAACAATAAATATAGATATCACATAAAAAGGTACCCATGATTCATCCTAGTACTCTACTATGAACTACCTTGTGATCCCAACCATTTATGAGGGCTTCTATGGATTAATTCTACATATATTATTTCTCCTTGCCTATAATTATTATTATGGGAAATATTTTCAAAAGATAAAGTTGCTGTTGTAACGAAAATCATCTGCCACTCATCTAAAAAAATTACAGATTTATTAAAATCATTAAAGGCCTTATTTAGTCTGAAAAATTAAACCCATGACATATTTTATCAATGGAGACATTGTGATTTTGTTAGTTGAAGGAAAATGTATTCAATTATTTAGTTACCTTAAGTCAGACTGTGATCAAATGAAATTTCAAAAGGGTTGTAAGCAAAATTATATAACATCAATATATCTGGTGTCCACTGGGAGGTGAGGACATACCTCCATTCATAAGGGGAAATAGAGCTTGAGAGGGATAGTAGACAGAAGATAAACATGGTTCACAGTCAACTCCCTTTCTCTGGGCTTCCCAATCATACATCCCTCCCACTTAAAACCCTGCCTTTATTAAATTGTTGTTTTTTTACCCTCATTAAATTGATAAATAAATGAATATGTGGAATTGGATCAGTAATTTATAATATGTCTCAGTAATTCCTGTTGGTAGGTAGGCGTTGACGTTTGGTACAGCTACCGCCGGGGATTTAAGAATAGGGGCGGCGGGGAGGGGCTGCTACCTTACCCTGTGTTCCCGACAAGGTCTCCTCAGTCGACTCCTCTCGGTGTGATCGTCAAGCTAGGAGGGAAGGATGGCTTCTCCTCTGCCGGCAGTGCGGCGGATCAAGCTGGGGTCGCAAGGGCTGGAGGTTTCTGCCCAGGGTCTGGGCTGCATGGGCATGTCGTCCTTCTACGGGGCCCCCAAGCCGGAGCCGGACATGATCGCCCTCATCCATCACGCCGTCCGCAGCGGCGTCACCTTCCTCGACACCTCGGACATCTACGGCCCCTTTACCAACGAGGTCCTCCTCGGGAAGGCCCTCCAGGAAGACGGACTGAGGGAAAAGGTGGAGCTGGCTACCAAATTTGGAATCCGGTTCTATGAGGAAGACAGGCGGGAAATATGCGGCGACCCGGCCTATGTGCGGGCCGCCTGTGAAGCCAGCCTCAAGAGGCTCGGCCTCGACTGTATTGATCTGTATTATCAGCACCGGATCGACACCAGATTACCCATCGAAGTCACGGTGAGGCTCCGTTATCTCTGTCCGTCCTCTTCATATGACAAACAGGTGCCTTGTCCCTGCGAGGTTGTTCAAAATCGATCTAGATAGGGTGGCGTAGTCTGCCGGAACAGAAGGAAAAGGCGCACATGGCACCAATCCAATCTCAAGAACCCTGTCTCCACCATTTCTGTGTCGCTGATTGGGTCTCTCTCCCTCTGGGGAATCCATAGAAAGCGAAACCATTCCATAAACTGCTTGATGTCGGTCCCGATTCGAAATATTCTGATTAAATTGGTTTTTCTTGCAAATTCACGAAGTGGGTACGATAAAGTTTTCATAAACTTGTCCTTCTAATTGCATCTTTCTTAGAGAAAAACCTTCAAGTCTTCTAGGAGAGATCATGAATGGGGAATGCTCGACGTACAGAAATGGCCAATCCATTGTTAGAGCACACGGAGAGTCATTTGAATGATCTTGATATTTTCTGTATCTGATGTTTCTGGTTCTTGGTACGTGTCAAGCTTCAGGGATCTAGATACCAGTGGATCGATGTCTTTCGGACTTAGATTGAAGCTTCTCATGTGTAGAGCCAATGGCTCTCTCAACGTTTGACTTGCATTTTCGTCGAAGTCATTGTTTTTTTTCTCCTGGGCTCTTCTTTGACCCTATGAATGTCGTTTATTTGTCTAAAGCAAACAGTTCAAGACACCGGTTACAGTTTATTAGAATGGGACTTAGGTCAGACCAAGTGGGCACACTGAGTAGGCCTATTACAATATGAATCTTTTGGTGGACCAGGTTGATCATGTGTTCTCAAACCATGTCCTGCTGGCCAAAAATATTGGGTCAGCTTTGCCGTGAATTGTCTTATCTGAGTCAAAATTAACCAGCTTATGGCTGATCCTCACAAAATCTCCCCATTCTACGATGATTCAGTCCTAAAACTGCCAATTCTGGTTATATTTTTGTGCTGATTAAAAAATTGAGCCGTCTATGTAGAATCAGCCACTAGAGGGTGGTTCACACCTTGAACCAATTGACTCAGCCAGGTTCCTGTTACTTTAGTCCTCAATATGTAAGCATTAATAAACGTGTCTCTTTACTTAAAACAATCAGAAAAGTGCTCTAATCTCTCAGAGTATTGTGTATAGTATTCTCTTTGTGAATCTCAATGGAAACCTTGAATGCCTCAATATGATTGACTTAGTAATCCTAGAAAATTATTGGTGAAAACCAGAAGAATATGAGTTATCTGCTGACAACAAAGTGCTCAAAGAAGGGTGTTATATCTTACATCAGGCTTTGACATGTCCATATGGGTAAGATTCTTTCCCAAGTCGAGCTTTTAGTTGAGCATGCCCTCTCTAATGGCTAGGAACGTTCTCTTTTCTCTATCTACTGGCTGCTGGGAAAGTTTTCTTGGCTTCCTATGCTCTCTCATTTCTCCATTTTTGTGGTTACAATATACACATACATGCATATAGGTAGGCATATATATATATATATAGGTTATGGTTTCATCTAATTTTTTTTCCAATTTTTTAATCAATCGTTCTATGATGAGGCTAGGCTAATATGTATTTATATTCCAATACTAATCTACTTTCTTGCCATAAGATGGGGGAGCTCAAGAAGCTTGTCGAAGAGGGGAAGATAAAGTATATTGGGCTGTCAGAAGCATCGGCCTCCACAATCCGAAGGGCCCATGCCGTGCATCCCATAACTGCAGTACAGTTGGAGTGGTCTTTGTGGACGAGAGATGTAGAAGAGGATATTGTTCCGACTTGCAGGTAAGGGAGGGTCTTTGCTACCTTCCACATGCATCATCACTTATAAATTATTTTTGCTTCACGGATTCCTCTTTCGTGCAGAGAACTTGGGATTGGAATTGTCGCCTACAGCCCATTGGGTAGGGGATTCTTCTCCTATGGCCCAGACATGGTCAACCAGTTGTCAGATCAGGATTTTCGAAAGGTATTTGTCTGATAATTTGAAAAGTAATTTTTTCTATGCTATTTAGACACTAGTAGCCTTATTTTGAACGCCTTTTATTTCCTCGATGTGCACACAGTGAGCTCAGTTCTCAGCTGAGTTCCTTGTCTATGTGGTTGAAGCTTTTCTCGGAATCTTATTGATTCTTCCATGCTTTCGTTACTTGATTTTAGCCTCTGATCTTGAATGCTGTACTTCAATAAACATTTAACTGAACCGTTCAGCTTATAGGAGTTCCGAATGTCTGATTATAGGAGCGAGGGTCTGATTTTAGTTGGCTCTATTTTATATTTTCTTTTGTAGCTAATTCTATCAGTGGCCTCGGACTGGGTTTACTGTCATGTGAGGTTTATATGTGTGGAACATTCTATTTGTATTATTCAATTGCTCTTGGCACATGATTGATGATTCCGTCTGTAGATTATTCTATTTGTGACGTTTAAGCCTCTTTAACCTCTGATTGTTCTTTCCATCTGTAGACCATCTTACTTCTACTTGGCGTCTAGTTCTTAGTTCCCTCCTTTATTATTCGAATTAAATTTCAAATTATGTTCATCTTATGATCGATATTTCGGTTTAAGGTCACTCTATATGCAGTATATTTTCTATTCCCCTTGAATTCTTCTGAACCTCTAATTAATACATCCGTTTTTGCGGATTCAGATTATGTTTACCATCTATTATTTACTTCCACCCGTAGAGCCCACTCGCTTTCCCCATGGAGGGCTTCCATTTGTACACTGTTCCGTTGAGAGTTCTGATTTCTTCCTAGCCTCTAATGGATGCACCCACTTGCAGACGGTCCCAAGGTTTCAACCTGAAAATCTGCGTGAGAATGCGCTCATATTTGAGCGAGTCCAGGCGATGGCAAAGAACAAGGGCTGCACCCCCTCACAGCTGGCCCTGGCTTGGGTTCACCACCAGGGGAGTGATGTGTGCCCGATTCCAGGCACCACCAAGATCGAGAACCTGAACCAGAACATCGGGGCACTGGCGGTGGAGCTCACTCCTGATGAAATTGCCGAGCTCGAGTCCTTCACTACTGCTGATGCTGTGAAGGGGAACCGATATGGGTCATTGATGCCCACTTGGAAGACCTCCGAGACCCCGCCGTTGTCGTCATGGAAGGGAGAGTAAGGGTAATGATAAGCTGGGGTTTTCCCTCCACTCTGAATAAGTAGTCTCCAATTCATGCCGTCACTTTTGCTTGTTGGCAATAATGAAGAAGCATAGATCAGTTTCTGTAGTTGAAACAAATTTTGAATAATGTTTTGTTTATGGTTAATAAATCCATTCAGCATTCTGATGTTTTCCTTGTTTGAAGATAATTTGTACCATCTTTAGTGAAGAATACTTTCAGACCCATTTTAATGTCTTCCAAAAAATCCCATGAATCACATCTCTCTTCATCGTTGACTTTTGCGATCGTAGAAAACTGATAATGGTGTAAATGTGTGGGTCCCAGATGGGCTTGCCCAGCTATCCATGCATAGATAGCTTGCTCCCATTTTAATAGCTTGCTCCCATCATTGTGGATAATACCTTGGAATGATGATGGGAATACATGCAAGCAAACCTTGCCTTGCATGTGAAATAGAGAGGGTATCATGATGGGAGCTGGTCAAAATAATGTGGTATTTATTGAATGTAGAACATTACATCGCAACATCACAAGGCTTGTCTAGAAAATTTGTTTCAAATGGGGGGGTGGCTGGCTTTCTTTGTTTTAGGCTCACAAGGACCAAACAAAAAATTTGACTTTGTGCTGTATGTGGGCATCAAATCCACAACTGCATGGTTACAAACCACCTAGCACTAAGCACCTATGAGTAGAAAAACTTGAAACCGTACTATTTTATTTATGTAATAAGAGATATGTGACCATTTTTTTTTTCTTCTCTTCCTTATTGACAACCATTGGAAAAGGAGCTGGGGATAAGGGTAGTCTTGACCTTCAAGATCCTAAAAATGGACACATCACCACGTATTCAAGGTTATAACTAAATGGAAAGGGTTTAAGATTCATCTATAGTCTTTTATATCTTTTATGTTAGCAAGATCAATTTAATAAAGTTTTCACTAAATTAGAGTGAATTAGTATTTTATTCAAATATAGAGTTTTGTACAAGGACAAATAGTGATTTTGTGTTTATATTATTCTTATTTTTAGATAAAAGCTATGGTTAACTTTGGATGAAGCGTACTAAATAAACATGAGTCAATTTTTAAAACTTTAGACCTGAAATTTGAAATTTCATTGAAACAACTATAATTAATGGGATAAAAATTAAACTATGTTATACTACAAGTTTGTTATTGTAACTTTTAATTAATTATTGTGACATTCATATTCAAAATCATAATCTTGTAGCAAATTGGGTTGTTTTGTTAAATTACATTAACTTCATAGATATATATATATTTAAATTATATTATATTTTATACATGGAGAAGTTGCTATGTGATAGTTTTAGGAGTGCTTTGGGGGTGATTGAGTGGAAGGAGATGGCGACATGTGTCAAGGTAGGTAGAGCATCTGATGAGAGCACCTCATTGAACCGACCAGAGATTTGGCGCTGCCCATCCAGTCCTAGTCTTCAGCTTACATTAACTATTGAATCCTTTTTCCCATTTTGGAAATTCAAGACTAGAAATTGTTAGTCATATCCATGAAAAGCCAACCAAATAGACTTAAGATGCATTAAGCATCCTTAAAACGTTAAAAAATAATTCAATAAATTAAATTGATATAGAGTCATCCTTAAATAGCCCAAAACTTCTCACATAATGCCCCATATGCCTTAGGCTTTAGAGATAATGAGCAATAGAAGAGAGTACTACTACCAGAGAGAATAGAGATAACAATAGACTTGGTGTTCTAGCCAGCAATGAAGTCATAAGGGAGATGTAAAGGATTGTGGCCATCTCGAGAGACGTGGAAACATCAAAAAGCGTATCTCATCAGGACAACCCAATAGGAGAACCGACTCTCTAACCTTCCCTTGCAGTATTTCTAGCTACTTGGACAAAGTCTAGAGTCTGTACTCTCTCTCTCTCTCTCTCCCCCCTCTCTAGTGAGCAGTTGTGAGAGAGGAAGAAGCTGTTGGGCTATCAATTCTTAGCATCTAGAGGAATCAATAAAAGAGGGAGACTCTGCAACCTTGTCTGTGTAGACATAGCTAAGAGGGAACGGACAAAAACATTAACATATTGGTATATACATTAAGAGAGAGAGAGAGAGAGGAGGGTAGCTTGAAAATTCAATGTATACCCCTTAGAGAGAGATAGGGAGAGAGAGTAGGCATGAGCATATAATGCACTAGTAATATGCATTAAAGGAGGTTCATATTTTCAGGTGGACTGATTCTCACAAACGGAAATGGCCCATTTACATGCAGACCGGAATGGGCAGAAATAGCCCAATGATGGACAAATTGGAACATATGAGTAGAAGAGGAAATAGCTCAAAACCTAGGGAAGGTACCCAAGGTGCCTATAAATAGAACTTTTTTTCTTATTTGGGGCATCTCATTGGAGAATTCTTAGGAGAGATTCTAAAGAGAAATCTCTTGTTGGGATTGGTGAGTGATTTGAGGGTCAAGATTAAGGATTTGTTCCTCAAGTTTTTGGTGAGAGTTTTCTTATAATCTTTTGTTAGATTTTAGGTCACACTAAGATCAAGAAGAGTGGTTGAATTGATATATTTTTTATATTCATCTTTAAATAAGATATCTTTGAAGGATGATTTTTTTTCTTTGACATATTACTATCTAAGATTTCTTATTCTATTTAATAAATACTATGATTTTTATAGTGATTCAGCTCATTACATACATCCAATCTACAAGAACAAACTATGTTCTTAGGTTTCACTAAGTACGGCCATCTGATCACAAATCATTGATTACCAAGTTTAACTCTCTTGGGAATTCACATGGGAAACTTCTCTTATAGATTCATGATTCTATGAGGGAAAATTGTTGCTTAATAGGGACAGATCTTTTAGAATTTCACCAAAAAATTCTCTTCTATTTTTTTAGCTTTAGGAGGCCAAACTACAATTAATAAAAATAACTCTCACTAAAAATAGATTAGTATTTAATATCATGATTATCTCACTACAATTGATAAAGATATCATTGTGGGAGGTTTCCAAAAATTGATGTTGACCTAAGGTTCATCTGAAGTTACGACGAAGAAAATGAAGGTTGAAGGTTGATTTTTTTGGTTTCTCTTTTGTAAAAGACTGCTGGTTGAGATGGAGTGAGTGGCCACTCATGATGGATCCTTGACTTGAGACTTTCTTCAACTTGGACAACCAATAGTGACCTCACTAGTTCTCACTAGATTTTGGTGTAGAGTTTTGCAATCAAAAGCTTGAAGTCATCATAAGGATGACATCATTTTATCGTACCTATTTATCCATTTGAAATATTCATTATTTATAGGTAAATCATCCTTGGATATCTTTTCAAAACTCCAAGACCTTCAATCTCTATTTCTCTTGGATTAATAATAATTTGAATGGTTAAAAAAATCCAATGTGATGTCATTTAGTTAGTTTGGATATTCTTACATAAATCCAACAATTACTAATGTCATAATCTATAAAAACTAATGTTGTGTATGATAATAACCCACAAAAAAATTATTTTTGCATCAGCCAATCAGTACAAATCCTACCTCTTCTTGTAGTACTCTTTCATGCCTCAAAGCTTCACATATACTCATATATACTCTTACAACACCCAACTTTAGTACAGTGGAGTGGTCTTTGTGGACTAGAGATGTAGAAGAGGACATCGACTTGCAGGTAAGGGAGGTCTCTGCTAGCTTCCACATGCATCGTCACTTATAAATTATTTTTGCTTCACGGATTCCTCTTTCACGCAGAGAACTTGGGATTGGAATTGTCGCCTATAGCCCATTGGGTAGGGGATTTTCTCTTATTGCCCAGACAAAGTCAACCCATTGTCAGACGAGGACTTCAGAAAGGTACCCCCGTCTGATGATCTGAAAGTAAATTTTTCCATGCAATTTAGATATTAATAGTCTTATTTCGAATGCCTTTTATTCCTCAATGTGCACACAATGAGCCCAGTTCTCAGCTGAGTTCCTTGCCTGTGTGTGTGTGTGTGTGTGTGTGTTTGAACCCTTGATTACTTAGTTTAGCCTCTGGGTCTTGAATGCAGCACTTCAATAAGCTTTATAGGAGTGACCCGTTTATGTCCTCTGTAGGCTCTGTTTTATATTTTCTTTTGTAGGCTAATTCCATGTGTTGGCTATTAAATTTGTATTATTCAATTGCGCTTGGCACATGATTGATGATTATTATTAAATTTGTGACCTTTAAGCCTCTCTATCTAGCCTCTGATTGTTCTTTCCATCTGTAGACCATCTTACTTCTACTTGGCGTCTAGTTCTTGGTTCCGCTCCAATATTATTCGATTTAAATTTCATATTATGTTCATCTCTCATGATCTATATTTCCATTCTATTCTCTATGCATTCTTTCTTACTTCCTCCACCCGTACAGATTCATACTACGTTCCTGTCATCATCTATATTTTCTCTCTTTCGGACCCACTCACTCTCCTCATGACCTTGAACCGATTCTACTTCCCCTTGGAGGGTTTCCAGTTGTAGATCGTTGCGTTGAGAGCTCTGATGGATCCACCCCCCACTTGCAGCCATGAATCGCACGCAAATCCCTCTCTTCATCGTTGACTTTTTGTGATGGTAGAATGCCGACACTGATGTCAGCGGGTGGGTCCAGTATGGGGCCCACCCCAGCTATCTCCCATTTGAATGACAGGACGAGGTGGAAAAATCGTTTGAGCAGGACAAATTTTCCAAGGGAAGAAGAACGATGGGAGGAGCGGGTGGCCTACGTTTTAGATCCACCACGGACAAAAATCCCAGTTTTGCGCCGTCTGTGGGATTCGAACCCACGACCACATGGTTAAAAGCCATGCGCTCTACCGACTGAGCTAAGACGGCTATTAAATCGGAAACAAAAAAAAATTCAACTGAAAACATTTAAGTCCCCTAAAAATATTTTAATTTTACCCCTATTTGTGGCCAACAGGTACGGGAAGGAAAGGGACGATCTTCGGTGGGACGTGGGGTACAGACGCCAAAAGCAAGGAGAGAGGAACGAAGCAGAGTAGTCCCCCACTGTTCAGACAATAATAGTCCATCAATGGAGTGGGTGAGATAATTACAGGCAGGCACATGGCGGCGTGTCGGCGGCGGCGGTGGCGGACCCAGTGGACGTCGGAAGAAATCGTCAGTTGGTGGGGAGCTTCTCTGTGTTGGAGGCGGTCTTCTTCCCCTGCCTCCGACGGAGGTATATGGCCCAGGTGACGAGCTCCAGGAGCACGGCGATGCCGCCCAGGGCGGCGATCACCGCGATGTAGGTGGTCTTCCACCGGTCGGCAGGCTTCAAGATGGAAAAGCCGCGGAAGATGTTGACGATGCCGAGGACGATGACGACGTAGCCCGTCAGGTGGTGGTAGGCTGCCCAGTAGAGGCGGAACTTGTGCTCCTTGCTCGGCCTCACAAAGAGGGCGAAAACCTGGAGCAGAGCAACTCGCTCAGGACTAGGACCAGAACCAGAGGAGGAAAGGGGGATCCGACGAGGAGGAAGAAGGGGAAGGAGATGACCAACCTGGAGGGTTGCGACGCAGAAGAGGGCGATCCCGAGGTTGCGATGCGTGGTGTGCTGGACTCCTTCCGAATCCTTCCCCAGCTTGAGGCCTGTGGCCCAGCCGGCGACCCCCAGGGAGTAGCCGGAGAGCTGGCACGCCACGTGAAGGTAGAACCAGGCAGGGTCTGCGGACTTAACGGTCCTCAGGTATCTCGCAATGATCGCACCGGTAGGGATGAGGACTCCCCAGCCCACGGCGTTCAGGACCCCATGAATCTGCCCAACAAAACCTCGACGAGTGACTAGATAGGATTCCAGAAGAGCGTGGAGCCAAACATTCATGTAAATTTTCTAAAATTGAACCGTCGCATGAGATAAGAAACATCAGAGAAGCGGGATTCATGAAGAGATGACTCGATTTCTCGCGGCAGGCCATCACTACACCGAAGATTATGTCAAACGAGGCTCCAACAAATCTAATCCGAAACTTTTGAAGGAGAAATGCCGAACTGATTCCATAGTCTACGGCAAGAAAATCTAGATTCTGTCGAGTAAATAGCCAGAAAATGCGTTCTGAGACGGAGGAATTATGCACAGTGAGAGGGCGTAGGAGTGGTAGCATTCTCACATTTGCCCTGCGAAGCCTCGAGCTGGTGGTACCATCTGAAGAGACGCCGCCGGCGGCTAAATCCAGGGTGGCTCTGGCTGCCAAGTTCGCTGGATCGAATGAGTGCCTCATGGGGTTGCCGTCTTGAACGGATGGACCGACCTGCCACACCTGGTTCACCTTCGTTGTCCCCGCAGGCAGCTTCATGGTGGCGAAGATCGTCATCACTCCATCAGATCCATACTCCGCCTCCAGATCTGAGACCTCGTAGTCGATCTTGGACTTGCGCACCTTATAGGAACTAATATTGTAGGTGTCGACGTCAATGGAGCCGTTTGAAGTGCGGAAGGCGAGGAGCGCCTGCGTGCCGATCATTTTCAGGTCGTTTGGGTTGATTCCCCAGGAGATCCACCCCCCGGAGGCGGAAGGAGTCGCAGAGAACGCCAGCCGGAGGAGGGAGGACCCTGTGTCGTGAGTATAGTGTAGGGTGGATCCGAGCCTGGGGAGCTCGCTGCAGAGGCCGTATTTGCGGTTGCCGGCGAAAGTCCTCGCGGCACACCCCGACTGGGCCCTCCCCACCGTCACGCCCTTCAACAGCAAAACCACAATGAGGAGGGGAAAGAGAGAGAACATTTTCAGCCGCCGCGCCATAGTTGAAGCTGATGGATCTCTGAGACGAAACCCTAGCTACCCTTCTTCCCGAGGAAGACGAAACCAGACCGAGCTCAGATGTAGGTTTCCCCAGTGTTAAATACGGAGAGTGAGGTTATAAAAGAGCGGTCTGGTGATCCGGCAGTATTCTTCTCCGCGTCACGTGGCCAAGCAACGCAGGAGAGGATGCGTAGAAAGAGAGCGCTACTCCACCAAGTTCGGATGGCGTTGCTAAAGCCCATGCGGTCCACACGTGTTGCGTGTGGTCGAGATTCTCCACAGAACGATCTTGCGATGATCGGGACCACAGGCCCGAGCCTTTTGGAAGATTCCGAAACTTTGTCCGTTGTCTTTTCTCACAGGGGCGACTTTTAGTTGCAAGTACATGGGGCCCACAGTCAAAGTTACCGCTCAGCCTAAAGACACGTCGATGGAAATTGACCTGTCTCCCTCTGCAGTCGTGGGCCAGCTCGGATAACCGCATCTTTGACAGCGACGACCAAATTTTAAATCTCCAACGTGCGAGAAAAACGGCGATATTAACGGCACTCTCGTCTTGACTTTGAATTTAGTTCCTTATTATGAGGTCAACGTGACGACGCCGATGCGTCATCAGCCAGTCAACTGAGCACAATACATTCTTTTGAACGGCGATGAAGAGACAAAACATTTCAAATTCCCCCTTGCATTTAAAAATAATTGCGTTTTCCATTGACTCATGCATCTTTTGCAGGCGTCTGATTCTTCTAGATAAAATATTTAACATTTATTTTCCCTCGGCTTTCAAAATAACAGCGTAATGTTCGCGGCTGACTGTCAGCTTTGGTTAAGAAGTTGCCCACTTGCATTGAGAAGAATAGTTGATGAGATAATTCACATTTACCCATTATATTGTTTTAAAAATAGCAGAATGGCTAGTAAAAGCATCTTTATTGGAGATCTGTTTCTTCAGCGTTGTCCACATGTTCTTATAAGATGTTTCATAGTTACCCTTAATTTTCAAAATATTCACACAAATACCCGCAACATTATTCGAGGTGTGCACGAGTTAGCTTAAGATAATGTGATGGAATAATTCACACTCGAAAATAATAGAAATTTATCCAACACTATTAATAACCTATTTCCTAATTACCCTCACGCTCGGAAATAATACCATAATTATCCATGAGGTGTAAAAATAATATCTATACCATGGATATTACTGTATTAAGTATCGAATAATAAAAAATAAAATACTTTGTAGTTCCTTAAACTAAACAAGGTTTTATTTTACTAGCTTTTTTTCAGATTATTTATTTCAACTGTCTTTTTTGCTGGACTAATTAATCACGGCAACCTAGATATAGGCATGTATATATGTACATTTAAATGTCAATTTAGAAAATTCGGAAATATGACGCCAGCAAATGTAATGGTGAAGTCATCTCGACTAGGTCGTTTTCCCATCCATGAGGTAGTATCGGCGGCGTATCGCACGCCTCCACGAAACAGTGACTGATCGTTTCAAGGCGGATATGATCACCGGCAGAGAACTAACTAATCAAGAATTCAAAAAAATGAGGGCTTATGTTTAACATGTAACTTTTATTGGTATATATGTTATTATAAAATTAAGTAGGGTTTGTTAAGAAACATTCATAAGAAATATCACGAGTGATCATTATTTTTAAATGTGATTATACAAAATGACCATTATATCCCCCAAGTTCAAATCTCTGCTTCTCCCCCCCATGATTTGTAACGGCTAGATCTCTCTCTGTCTCTGTCTGTCTGTCTGTCTGTCTCTCTCTCTCTCTCTATCTTGCTCCCCTACTCTATGGTCTCCATTGCTTCCACTTTCTCTTCCCCTTCTCTTTGAGTAGATTGGTCTATTTTTTGGGTTCTTTGGGTCTGTCAACTGGTGGATCTGATCTCTGGTCAGTACTCCCAGCTCCGGAAATGAAGGCCGTCTTCCATGGCAGGGGCGGGAAGGCCCCGCCGGGTGAAGCTCTCACCCCGAATTCTCATCAGAAGCAGAGGATGGTGTCCCGAGGTGCCAAGGAGAACGTCGATCCCGACTCTACTGGATCGTTGCCGGAGAATCGAACGCCATCTGCTACGGCCAAACCGCCCCTGGCTCCTAAGATCCGGAGCCCCCTCCACCCAAGACCATTGCCAAACCCTAACGATACGCCTCTCAAGAAGAAGAAGCTAAACTTGGAGACCTTGTCGGAGAATGGAGCTCCCGCGGCGGCCGCGACGGAGTCCGGCGTCCAGGTACGCTCTTTTCCGCGAGGAGGAAGACTAGGTGGTCTGGGTTTCGAAAACCATCGATGGATGGCTGAGGTTAGGGTATTTTTGTTATTTGAGCACAGGTGATTGTGCGGATGCGGCCGCTGAACAAGGAAGTGGAGGAAGAAGACCAGATCGTACATAAAGTTTCCGCTGATTCCGTCTCTATTCTTGATCATGCCTTCACTTTTGATTCGGTCGCTGACACCGGATCCACACAGGTTGCCCCTCTTCAACGAAGAATTTGGTCCCAGCATGTTAAAGTTTAGGGAAAAGACACTAACGTATTTTCAATTAAATTTACCATCAGGAAGAAGTATTCCAGCTCGTGGGGCTTCCACTCGTAGAAAACTGTTTGGCTGGCTTCAACAGCTCAATATTTGCATATGGACAGGTACCTTTCAAGTAGCAGCTACATTCAGTTAAGTTATAGGCTTTTTTCCCTGGCATCAACTTCCCCGTTCTGTCGCGATGAAATAGACGGGCAGTGGAAAGACGTACACGATGTGGGGACCAACCAGCGCCGCGCTGGAGGATGGGTCATCAAGTGCTGAACGAGGATTGACGCCTCGCGTCTTTGAAAGGCTATTTTCTCGCATTCATGAGGTGGGTTTAATTTTTCTTGTCTGTCCAAGTGATTATCCATTTTCCTGATGCATTGAGCTAAATCCTTTCTTTTCCATCCTTAGGAACAACTCAAGCATTCCGATAAGCAGCTCAATTATCAGTGCCGCTGTTCCTTTTTAGAGGTGTTCATCGAATACTTTACCAATCTTCGTATATTTAATTATTGCTGATTTTGGACGGTCAAGCTTGACAAATTAGTATTTTGTATGAATGATAGATTTATAATGAACAAATTATGGATTTGCTTGATCCAAGCCAGAGAAACCTTCAGGTATCAAACAGTTACCTCGGGCCTGCTCTGATTTATCTGAATCGCATCCACCATGGCCGTTGACTGCATATGTGTATTGCAGATAAGGGAAGATGTCCGAACTGGTGTTTATGTCGACTGTCTCTCAGAAGAGTATGTGTGCACGATGAAGGATGTCACTCGGCTACTGACTAAGGTATTTTAATCGCCATTTCTACTAAATTATGTTGGCTTTTGAAATACTTGTTTTTCATTCTCTCCTTGATTCACTTAAGATAAAAGTGAAGAGAACATAGTTTACTGTGTACTCTGCGAGACGTAACTTTCTTTCAAACCATACATATACACGTGTATAAAGATGCTTCTTTCTGATCATTTAGTAAAATTTTGTGAAGCATTATTTCTGCTTTTAAATTTTTCTTATTGATTTTTTATGCCCAGGATCAGTGATCCATGATTTTCTGGCAAACAGCCTTTCTGATGCTTGTCCATGGTTCAGGGTTTAGCGAATAGAAGAACTGGGGCAACAAGTATAAATGCAGAAAGTTCTCGTTCACATTGTGTTTTCACATGCGTCATTGAGTCTCATTCAAAGGTAAGAGCTCACCACTTAAATAGACTACTTACTACTCGAGGCTTTTGGTCTCCATTCTGCTATTGTACTTTTTCTCCATGTTATTCTTCAGTGCCAAGAAATGTTTTCTAACATTCTGCGAGGCCACATCTTCAGTTTCCTTAGATTCCATTTATCTGACGATAGCAACATTGATGATCCTTGCTGTGTACTTCTTTATGTCACGTTTCATTTATGTTTAATTTGGACTCATTCCTTTTATTTTGTAGAGTATTGCTGACGGCCTAAATAGTCTAAAGATCAGTAGAATCAATCTTGTCGATCTAGCTGGATCTGAAAGACAGAAGCTTACTGGAGCGGCGGGTGAACGCTTGAAAGAAGCAGGGAACATCAATCGGTCCCTTTCGCAACTCGGGTATGATTTCCCTGTCCATAAAAGCAGCCTCTATCGTATGCTAAGACCATTACAACTAGTAAATAAAGGACTTATCTACATTATGAATTCACTATGACTAGCTTCAACCATCGGATGGTTGCACGTCTTTTTCGTTGATTATTAAAGTAAAAACCAGTATCAGATTCATCGTTATGATCAGTTTTGAATTCGCATGCATTTTGTTGACTTCTGATTTACTTTTGTGGATCATTATTTGTGCAATGATTCATACACCCTCGCTTGGTTGAAAAATCTACTTTTTTGATACAGCTCAATAGTTAACAGATTATGTATGCCTCTATGTATCGAGGGGAAATTTTGGGCATAAGTAGTCAGTCATAGTACTTTGGTTTATGAATCATTTCATTTATGCAACCCATTAATGATGCCATTATCTGATTTTGAATTTTTGTCGAATTCCAGGAATGTGATCAATATTCTGGCTGAAGTTTCCCAAACGGGAAAGCAGAGACATATTCCATACAGAGATTCCAAGCTGACATTTTTGCTTCAGGAATCTCTTGGTGGCAATGCTAAGCTGGCGATGATATGTGCCATCTCACCATCGCAGAGGTGATATTTGATGCAACAATAGCTTCCTTCTTCTTAACTTTCTCATCATTAATCCAAATCTCACTTCAGATCCGTTATTTGGTTGCAGCTGCAAGAATGAATCATTTAGTACTCTAAGGTTTGCACAGCGTGCTAAAGCTATTAAAAACAAGGCAATTATTAACGAAATTTCACAAGATGATGTCCATGTCTTGCGAGAGCAGATACGTCAATTAAAGGTAGTATTTTTAATCTGGTGCCGATTACTTCAGAGGACTTAATATTTTTTTCCTCTTAAGTCTCTCTGTAGGGGAGTGATTGTACATGTCTTGTGATGAGAATGGGGATTGGGGGTCATTCCCCACAAATGGAATGGGAAAACCACCTTGCTTGTTGGGTGCCTGGGCCCAACAAGCAATCATCCTACTTTATCATGTTGAATAGACTCATCCACTATTTCCACTGTAGAAGCAGTTTCCTTTTTGGGAGCATAAGAACCCTAAGTGTTTAGCCAATTTTTTTTAGAAAAACTTACTTGCATTTTCATGAACAGGATGAATTACTCAGAATGAAAGCAAATGGTGTTTCACCGGAAGGAAACCCAAACTTTTCAACAGGATGGAATGCTCGGAGAAGTTTGAATCTCTTAAGGATGAGCCTTGGTCAACGTGCGGTTATATCAACCCTTGATGATGATATGGACATTGATGAGGATATGGATAATCCATGGATGGCAACTAATGTGCGACCTGCTGTGAGTGAACCTATTCAAGATGATGTGCCCAAGATAAGTGCTCAATGTGTGGAGGAAGAAGATTCATCAGGTGATGATAAAATTGTCCATAAATGCATGATGACAGAGGAGACTGCAGAAGGCCATGACCCAGACCGAATAGTCGTGCAATCCTGTGAGGGAACTGTTGGTGTAGAAGGTCATGACCCAGACCCAATAGTCATGCAAGTAGTTAGTCCCATATCTAATGGGGCTGATTCCAAAACTGATACTTGTATGAATAACGGAGAAAGTTATGACTTAATTGGCAATTCTGGAGAGGAATCGATTGATAGAAAGGCTGTGGAACTACAAGGCAGCACGTCCAATGAGTGTAAGCTTCCAGATATAGAAAAATCTCTGTGCGTTGAAATTTTTAGTGAAGAGGATTCCACTGTCAGCTTACTTTCAGATTCTCGTCAGAACTCTCTGTCAAGGTCCACGCATGATGTTATATGTGATCTTAGCATTGTAACATGCTGTATGTCACCAGATTCTCTCACTCCATCTTTATCTCTATCACCAAAGGTAGAAGATGTCACAGAGGAATGCCTTAAGGCATGCCCAATGTCAACTTCCCCGAAGGATCTCTTGGAAGATAAAGTGCCTGTTTCGAAAGGTCCAAGCCCCTCTTTTTCTCAGGAAAAAGGTGGCAGGAGGAAGGGTTCTCTTGTACCAACAGAACATCTGGCAGCAAGTCTCCAGCATGGTCTTCAAGTTATCAGTAACCGCCATCAGAAATCAACTGTTGGACGCTCTTTGTTTGGATTTTCTTTCAAACCATTGGACTTTAAGCCACTGCTTCCAATTGCTAAGGTTGAGATTGGTGTACAAACAGTCCCCCAAGAAACTGTAGAAGATTCATCTACATTCATGTGCAGTTACTGCAGGGACAGGTTTCTACTTGAATCTAAACCTGTCAATAATGACAAGGATCAGCAACTGGTGCCTCTAGATGACACTGGCAAGAAGGAACTGCAGCTGGTGCCTGCAGATGTCATTGACAATAGCGAGGTGCAACTGGCGCCTGAAGATAATAGTGACAAAAACGAACTACAGCTAGTACTAGGAGATGCTACTGACAACAATAAGGAACTAGGACTTGCAGATGCATTGCAACCTACTGATAAACCCAAAAACCAGATACCGAAGGTATTGTACTGGGAACATTTTGACTTTATTTCTGTTCTTCAGTGTTTGCAGTGAAAGATGCATCTTTTTTCTCACTTTTATATTTAATGAAAACGATATTTTGAAATTTTTAGGCAGTGGAGAATGTCTTAGCTGGAGCAATCAGACGGGAAATGGCACTCCAAGAACACTGCTCCAGGCAAACTGCAGAAATAGTTCAGCTTAAACGTTTGGTAAATTTCAATTATTATTTCTATAGTTAAACTGGCGACAATTTCGGCATCTTCTTACTACTGTGGCATCTTCAGATTCAACAATACAAGCATGAGCGTGAGTGCAACTCAATTATTGCTGAAACACGCGAAGACAAAATATGCCGACTTGAAAACCTTATGGACGGGATTTTACCAACTGAAAAGTTTATGGAAGAGGAGTTCAGTTCACTTGCGAATGAGCACAAGGTAATAGTTGCTTGTGATTTATATTTTGGAATAATAGTTCACATTGTACTGATGTTACCAGTATTTGGCGCCCAGCTTTTGAAAGAGAAATATGATAATCATCCTGAAGTCCTGAGAGTTAACGTTGAGCTTAAAAGGGTAAAGGATGAGCTTGAAGCATACAGAAGCTTCTTTGATCTGGGGGAGAGGGAGGTACTGATGGAAGAGATACATGAACTAAGGGACCAGTTACAATACTATATTACTTTTTCTCCCTTTCCATCTCAAAAGAGGAGTTCACTGCTTCAGCTGGCTTATCTTAAAGATCCTATTCCAGATCTTCTAGATGATGTTCCGGAATCGACAAAAGAAAGTGCAAATGAAAACTTTGAAGAAGAGAGGCGTCTTTGGGCTGAAACAGAAAGCAAATGGATTTCTCTTTCTGAAGAACTCGGGCTTAAATTAGAAGCAAGCCGCTCTCTGGCTGAGAAACTGAAGATGGAGCTTGATTCGGAGAAGAAATGCTCAGATGAGTTGAAAGAAGCGCTGCAAACAGCAATGCAGGGCCATGCTCGGATTCTTGATCAATATGCAGATCTTCAGGAAAAGCATATTGGTATGCTTATTAGGCATCAACAGATCAGAGATGGAATTGAAGATGTTAAAAGAGCAGCAGCTAAATCGGGTGTTAAGGGTGCAGAATCAAAGTTCATCAACTCCCTTGCTGCCCAAATTTCGGCACTTAAAGTTGAGAGGGAGAAGGAAAGACAGTATTGGAGAGAGGAAAATAAAGTGCTCCAGGCTCAACTGAGGGATACCGCTGAAGCTGTTCAGGCTGCAGGTGAACTGGTAGTGCGGCTCAAGGATGCTGAGGAAGCTACTGCAAGTGCCCAGGTTAGTGCATCAGAAATTCTGTAACAAAATGAATCTTGTTAGAAGTTTCCTGTTTTATTGGAAGATATTTCATTTAATACAAAACATTAGGTTCATTTATGTTTTTATTGGAATGCTTAAAAATTATAGGCCTTTTAATTTACTGATAGGTTCATTTATGTTTTTATTGGAATGCTTAAAAATTATAGGCCTTTTAATTTACTGATAGGTTCATTTATGTTTTTATTGGAATGCTTAAAAATTATAGGCCTTTTAATTTACTGATAGGTTCATTTATGTTTTTATTGGAATGCTTAAAAATTATAGGCCTTTTAATTTACTGATAGGTTCATTTATGTTTTTATTGGAATGCTTAAAAATTATAGGCCTTTTAATTTACTGATAGGTTCATTTATGTTTTTATTGGAATGCTTAAAAATTATAGGCCTTTTAATTTACTGATAGGTTCATTTATGTTTTTATTGGAATGCTTAAAAATTATAGGCCTTTTAATTTACTGATAGGTTCATTTATGTTTTTATTGGTCACTGATAACAGCTAATAGGAATGAAGAAACGGAATTTTATGCCTTTTAATTTACCAGGAAAGTCCTCATGGTTCACCATTAAGTCAAGAATTTTGATGGGCTTTCCGGGTTATGTTGCATCGCCAAAATTCACCGTAGATATTTCTGCATGAAGTACAAATAACAATCAGATGGCCTTTGGCTTTAATCTCTGCAGAAACGGGCGAAGGTAGCTGAGAAAGAGGCTGAAAGGGCCTACCAAGAGATCGATAGTCTGAAGAGACGACATGAGAGAGAGATTGAAACATTTAATCAGCGTACTGCAGAGTCAAGGCTGCCAGACGAAGCTTGTAATCCCACAGACTGTGATGCTGACGCTGTCAAATATGATGATGTCGACTGTCTCCATGATCAGAAGTGGAGAGAGGCATTTGAACAGCAAGATGAGGAGTTCTCGAGAGGAGCTGAACAAGCATCATGGTTTTCTGGTTATGATCAATGCAATTTCTGAATAACCAGTTTGTATCTACTAGCCAATTGTTCCATTGTGTCCACAGAGATTAGTTCATGTTTACTATGAGGGGAAAGGGCAACTTGCCAATGTGTATATTAGATTCAATGGTAACATTTATTTTATCCGATTCAATGCATGGCTATGAATGCATGGAAGTTATTATCAGATAATGTTTGGAAATTATTGTTATCTTTTTAAAGTGATTTCCTTAATTTATCGGCCTCTAGTTTGGATTATGTTTGGAGTACGTTTTGGAAAGAAAGTTTTCATCTATTGACCTCTAGTTTGGCACAACATTTGAAAACCCAAGAATGGAAAAACTTATTAATTACATCAAATATGGTGTAATTAATAAGCATCATAGTGTTATCATTATGATAAACTTTGATTTCTGACAAAAACCAAAACTTATATGTTTGGAAATATTAAATCTTAGTAATTTTTACACAATTAATAGTCTAATTGCATATTTCATAATAAAGAATAAATCTAATTAATTATTTCTTGATTCCTATACATGTATTCTTTTTTGTCATAGACTCTAATATCTTTCCAAGGTCAAAAGTCTTGAGAAGAATTTTATTGAACCAAGATATTATGTAATTATGTTTTAGGGAATGAAGATGAATTTTTGTGAACTTTTCTGTAATTTTTAGAACCCAACTAAAGGTCTGAATAAAGGGTGCAACAAAAGGAGTAACATGACACAGAAATGCGCCACGATTTCACCCTAAAGGAAGGCTCAACTCAAGACTATGACAAAGCCCAAAGTAGAACAAGAGAGAATAAATGGGCCATGATTCAACCTAAAGGAAGGCCTAACTTAGGACCACAACCAAGCCCAAAAGAGGAGAAGAGAGAGAAGAAATGGGCCATGATTTCAACCTAAAGAAGACCCAACAAGACCCACGTTTTTAGTCAATGAGAGGGCATCCTCCTCCTCTAGAACCTCTCACAACCTCTCTTCATCCTTTCCACTCTCTCACAATCTCTCCTCATCCTCTAGAATCCTCTCACAATCTCTCCATCATCTCACAACCTCTCTAGAAGGTGCGGCAGTTGCAGGCTCCCGCTCCTCTCATGAGAGGAGTCTCTAGAAGGTGCGATGATTGCAACCTCTCACTCCTCATGAGGAGAGTCTCTAGAAGGTGTGGCAGTTGCATCCTCCCACTCTTTATGAGGAGACTCTCCAAAATGTGTGACAGTTCTCACTTAAAAGTGTTGGTTGGTGCCTATAAATTGGGAGGATGGGAGTCTATGGAGATCATTAGAAGCTAGATCTAGAATTCTTGCTTCATTTTCTTTAGAGAGAGATGTATGAGAGATTCATGCTGACTTTAAAGGAGTCACAGTTGTAAAAAATTTAGATTTTTCATTAGTTCAATCATGCTTTTTTCTTTTTAATTCTTTTAATTCTATTATATTGTTTTATTCAAATTTGAATTTAAATCTCCTTTCACCTGCACTCTATTTCGACTTCTTACAACTATATTTTCTTTTAATTTTGAATTCATACTATAATCAAGGACTTGATCTTTCTCCACATGACATGGAAAGGATGCAATGTTCTCATTAGAATTAAGATTGAATGCATGTTGATTAAGAATAGTTTTAATTCATTTGAAGTGGCTTAGATCATTATTTTCCATTCACGTGACATAAAGGGAGTGCAAAGGTGATCGCCACAAATTTTTTGTCTATAACTCATCTTATTCTGATTTCGATTTTTAATTTAGTCAACATGTTATTCCATTCAAGTCATTGCTAGTATTCTTTTTTTAAGATTGTTTCTTCTCTTATAACATTGGATTCTTTACTTGTGTTAACTTTAATTCCTTTTCTAATTATATTGAATATAATTTACTTCTTGATACATTCTCTTTTATTTTTCTCTCTCTTCTTCTCCTTGTCATGACACAGAGACAGAAAAATAAATAATTATTTGATTTTACATTTTCTTTTAGAATTCTAAGAACTTCTTTTAGATATTTATCTCTTTTATAATTTTAATATGTTCATATCAAACTTACTCTAATAGTATCATCCCTAAGGATATGACCTAACTCACTATTTATACTAAAATACAATTAGAGATAGATTTAGTAGTAGTAATAATAATAATAATAAATTATATACCTAAATAATAAAATTGAGTGTTCTTATTACAATGACTAGGATACATCAATTTTTAGTGTCGTTGCTGAGGATGGCAATTAATTAGAGTCTACTCCTTTCTCCCATTTATATAATCGACCTAAATAAATAAAATAAAATATATAAATACATAAAAGGAAAAAATAGTAAGAATAAGCTTTTTTCATTCATTTGATATATGTCAGGAAGAGGATCATTAAATCCTCCCTTAGTTGAACCCCTTACTAGAACTCATCATAAAACTATGACCATGGATGATAATATGAAAATCATTCTTCTTAGGTAGCTTTGAGATTATTTCAATCCTCCCACCGGTTGAAAATTTCATCAACACCCAATATGTAAACATGATATTAAATTAGGTATTTTTCAAAAACTACCTAGCTTTTATGGTAGTTCAAATGAAAAGCCTTATGAACATCTCCAATAATTTTTAAAAGTGTGTAAATGAAGTTAATGATGATTTGAAATTAACTTTGTTTTCATTTTCTTGGATCTCAACCTTGGATAGAGAGATCAAGATTTGGGCGGAAATGACTCAAGGGCTTCTTAAAAAATTCTATCATAGGGGTAAGACTGCTATGATGAAGAAAATCATTATATGTTTTGTGCAAAGTCTTAATGAACATCTACATGAAGCATGTTGGAGATTTAAAGGGATGATGATGGCATGTCCTCATCATGAGATTCCTAAATGATAAGTACAAATTTTCTATGATGAATTATAGGAACAAAATAAACAAATAGTAGATGCTTCATGCGGAGGTACCTTTATGAATAAGAGTGAAGATGAAGCTTATAGCCTCTTTGAGGAACTTATTGAAAATCCATTGAATTATGTTTCATTAGCCAGTTATGATAGAAATAGCAATAGGAAAGGTGGAATGTATGAAGTCTCAAGGCAAGAAGAAAATGTGCTAAAGGCTGAGGTGGGTGAGATACATAGAAAGATAGAAAATCTCATATCTCTATAAGTATAAGACTAATTCACCTCCTAGGAGAGAAGCATGTGCTATATCCACTAGCCCTACGCATAGTGAGAATGAGTGTCTTACGTTCATTCAATCTTTGTCATATACATCAAAAGAAGTGCAAGCCACCCAAGGGTTTGAAAAACCTAGATACAACCCCTACTCAACCATGTACCATCCTAGATGGAAGAATCATCTAATTTTCTCTTGAAAAATTTAATGTTCATATGTAGAGAAAATGTGTTTAGTCATCTTCTTGTGCAACCTAAACACACACAGCACAACTATCAACCCCTACCACCTTTCTATCAAAGCCACCTTTCATTTTCTTTTGACTACCAAATATCTCTAAAGACCAACCAACACACCAAAGCTAAAATGCAGATGGCATGATTAACTCTTTTCAACAATTGTTGTTACAACACCAAATGTTTCAACAAGTCATGCAACAACAACAACAAATGGCACAACACACTCAACTCATGTAGAAGTTTACCAAAGACCACCTATGTAGGGAATCTCACATGTAGAGCAATCTTTTTGACTAGATATAGGTCAATTGTCAAGTCAATTAGTAGTTAATCTTAGGAACAACCCAATTGGCTTCCAACCTCAACTTTCACACATAGCTGGTGTTAGTACACAACCTCCTTGTCCATTTACCAACTTTGAGGACTTAAATGTTATATCTAAATCATGAAGTTGAAAGATATTAGTTGATCTATCTACTAAGAATGAAAAAGATAATGGTAAAAAGTTATTACTAATAGAGCATACCTCGAATATTGAGGAAGATGAGAAAACAATGGGAAGCACTATACAAGAAGACCCTGATAAATACACTCTACCAATGTCTTTTCTCACTAATTTAGAGCTAAGGATTAAGAAGAAATCAATACAAGATACATAATTAATGAAGCTACTCTAGAGTATTCTAGTATTCAAAGTTATGAAAAGTTTCTAAAGGAACTTTGCAGACCTAAAAATGAAGAGAAGATAAAATTATCCCCAGAAGTTAGTGCAATCATATTAGATAAATTTGCAAAGAAAAAGAAAGATCTAGGAGCACCTATTATATTTTGTAATATAGCAGTAACATTCCATAATTATTTACTTCACTTAGGTGCAACTATTAATCTCTTACCTGCATCAATATCACAAGATTTTAACATAAGAGAATTGAAGCCGACAATCATTATTCTCTAAATTGTGGATAGATCAAATAAATGACCCAAAAGATTACTTGAAGGTGTCATCATCAAGATAGATGACTATTATTTTCTAGTTGACTTCTTGGTGTAAGACATGAATGTCTCACATGAGTTGAGTGAAATGCTTGCATTTTGGGATGTCTTTTTTTGGCCATTAGCAAGGCCAACATCAACATGCTAGTTGTTATAATAAGAACACTCAATTTTAGTATTTAGGTATGTCCTTTATTATTATTATTTTTACTGATCTCACGTCTAATTGTATTTTAGTATAAATGGTGAGTTAGGTCATCTCCTTAGGAATGGTACTATTAGATTACGTTCTCTTTTATTCTTCTAAGAATATGAATTGTTGAAAAGATTTGAAGTGATTAATTCTTAAATATGAACATATTAAAATTCCAAAAGAGATTAATATCTAAAGAAGTTCTTAGAATTCTAAAAGAAAATTAGAATTGATCTGAAAAATTAAAATTAAACAATTGAGTATTTATTTTTCTCTCCTTGCATCATGAGAAGGAGAAGAAGAGAGAGGAAAATAAAAGAGAATGTAAGCGATCAAGAAGTGAACTATATTCAATGTAATTAGGAAAGAATTAAAGCTAACACAAGTAAATAATTCAATTTTATAAGAGAAGAAGCAATATTAAAAAAAAGAACA